TCCGACGTCCTCCTCGAAGAAGAACGTATGCGTTCCAACCTCAAAATGGTAGGTGTGTTTTCTTCTTATCCTACATCTACGTCTTTCGTCTCTGTCGGCAAAGCGGAGGTTGGAGTGCTACCACATGAGTTCTTGCAAATTCCGTCGCTATTTACTTGAACTCTGTGCCGCCCTGTTACTGAACGAGTTGTTCGTCGTTTGAGATTTTTCTTATGAAAACAAGTGTAAAGACATTTTGTGTAAGATTTTTTTCGAATAATTTTTCTATTACTTTTGCCTGTTTGTTGCTGAAGTTAAACTTCGAATAATTAAAGCGTGCAACACGTCAATTGGTGACGAGTTTACCGACTCTGCAGCACTGGTGTGCCGTTTTTATTCAAGAACGTTTTAAACTGTTATTTAAAATACAATTTCTAGTGTAGAAAAGGTTTTTAAAAGTGAAATATTCTTTTTACATTAATGGCAGAACCTCGCCTCGAAATTTTTATCACCCATAATTTAAAATTGCATAAAAATTGTCAGGATAATTTCTCCACTGGTCAACTTTGAAGGTTAAAGAGTAGATAAAATTTCAAAATTACAATTTTAAGCTCTTTTACAGAATAAAATTTTAAAAGAAGCCTAATGTCCTTCTTTCTTTTCTGTTATATTAGAGCAATCACTGGATGAGCAACGTTGGTTTATTCCTGACACAAGCAATACATGGACATTGGAGGACCTCGCAAGGAAGAATCCAAGAAAAGCTCAGACGATTGAGAAAATTGGAAACGACAAAGATAAGAATTTATATTCAATTTTAGATTTCAAAAATTAGAGGCTATGTATTTGAACCGCTGAACAATTTTGATTTGACGAGGTGAATTACGTAATGTGATTTGGTGAAATCAAAGACAAAGCAACAAGACAAAAGAAAACCATAAATAGAAAACAAAGAAAGACGCTTAAATTGTAATCGTTCAAAAGCAATTGCCACTAATTTTTCAATTTCATTAGACTCAAAATTAAGATTTCAAGGGCGGTCTATCGAGGCTTCTTGAAAAAGAGTGTGTTGGTTTACTTGGCACGTCGATGTAAGAAAATGAGTGAGAAAAGTTGTTTTTTTTATTGCTAATGTAATTTTTCCGATTTATCTTCAAAAATAGTTTTGAAATTCCCAAAATTATTATGAAAGCCATGCTCAAAAACCTCGAAATACCGCCCAATGTTAGTCTTGGATCTACACTACTGTGGTCGTATTTGTTAGTGATGGTGTGAGGACTGATGGCGTGTAACTTTTTAAGGTGGCACTCGCTCTCGACATGCGCCTCTCGGCCAAAGAAGATTTCGATCGAAATTTAGGAATTCCTCTTTTCCGAGGGTTTTTGAAATGATAGCGACAATGTAAATCCGTCGCAGAAATAATCTCCACATTAGACCCAACTATTAGAGCTATTTGAGCTAATACTATCAGACTGTGCTGAACACTATTACGACTGTACCTAGAGACGAACCTACAGAACAATAGAAAACGTTCTTATACAACAAAACAAAAACTGACACCTCGATTAATAACGCACTAAGAAATAAACCGACTTAAACCATACGACAAATACGCGAGGACATCTTTTCTCTTGCCTTTGAAAAGAATATTGTCTTACCGTCGGATTGAAACACTCAATTCCGTTGAAAAATATACCAACCAAGGCTTCTGTGCTCTTTAGTAAGGCGGAACTTTTATTTCGGCAACGAGATTTGTCTGAACCAACCAATGAGAATAAAAGCAAACAGAGGTAGAAATACATCCCCTATACAATCAGTTATTCCAGCTAACAGAACATTTTAGCCATGAAGACCAACGACATCCGAGGCATCGTTGAAATGATAGCCGACAAAAGACGTGTCACAACTGTCAGGAACTATAGACCGTCCATGATGAGAAATTTACAACTGAAATGACAAGGAGACTTACGAAGAAATCAAAGAACACCTAACAATTCTGAGCCGCCGAAGACACTGAAAACACCACAGAACTGAAAAACTGACCAACAAGTTTTTGCCGTCTGGACTAGTATCATTCGACAGACAGACAACTCTTCGTTTGTTACTGATGACGACGGAACATAGTCACTGTTATTGTCGATGACTACTTTTCACAGACCACTCTAAACCGAACAATCAGACATGACACCATCCTGGGTTTAAAATTAAGGATTTTTCAATTGAGTGTTGAAAAAAGACAAAAACTAAAATAATCAAAACATTCATTCAAAACGATGATTCATTTCATCATTAACCAATGAGAATTCAAAGTAAAACGAGGCAAAGTGCAAAAAGTGCGGGAAAACGCGGACGACCACATCGTGATTGGTTTTTGTTTTGCGTCTGATTGGTTGAGAGGATGGCGCGATGGACCAATAGCTGAGCGAGTTAAAGCAAAACCGAAGTCTTGAATCTTGATTACACCATAAAGCCACCTTAGATTAGTTCCACGTTCATCTGATATACACCTTGAGTTCAACTTAAGACCGTTCTGAAGGGTTCTCCATGATTGAAATAATTCATAACTTGATGAGAATTTTATCGGAGTTTACTTTCTGTATGTTTACAAATTGAGGCGTGTTTAATTCTAATCAAAACATTAAATCCCTGAATGATGGAGGACCTTTCTCCTATATTACCCTTTAATTAATAAAGTAAATTTCCTGAAAAATAAATATCTGGTTCATTTAATGAGATGTCGGAAAAAACGAGGAAGGCGCTCTCTAAACACCAACATAAGTTACACTTATTGTCGTGGCGTAAAGAAAAGCTGCCGGCAATGTAAAATCTCAACTTGCAAATTTAGCATGTAAATCTCGTGGAGGTATTATACGAAACTAATGTAACATTAACGTTATATGTCCGAAAAAATCGCCAGTGTCTTTTTCAGTAGGCATTCGTTTATGTATCATTCTCAAGGAATCCGTATAAATCTGTGGAAGTAATAGTCTGCGTTTGTCATCAAATTTCCTTAGCTGTACCAGTCAAAAGGACTTCACAACAAGCAATTTTCTGTGCCTTTTTCATCTGTATCAAAAAATGAACATTTTGATGCTTATAGATTAGTGAAAAAATAACCAGGAAAACTGGCTGTTTTACAAGAGAGAGTTATGACACCAAAAAGTAGTGAAATACAGCAAATCATTATAACGAGAGAAAAAAAATACGAAATGGTTTGAACAACAGGCATTTGTGAAATACATTTTCCATGCATGTAGTCAAAAAATAAATTCTCTAGTTTTGGCTCGATTTTTCCTCAAATTTTACTCATAATTGCAGTCGAAATGAATTGTGATAATGCTGAAAAGAGTAGGCATTGAAAAAAACAGGCAAACTTACAATTTTAGAGTTTGATATGGTAATAAGAAAATTTTTGATTTAAAAAAAAATTTGAATTTAGGATTTATACTCGCGTAGTGTCAAATCAATGATGTGTACATAACTCAATTTTTTTCACTGTCTCTTTGTACAGTAAAAAGTTCATCAGGAACAAGAACAATTGGCTGTTTTGCGAAAGTTAAAAACGTTAAAAATACTAAAATACTTATCGATAAAATCAAGAGAAGGAAAAAATTGAAAGTTTACGAGCGCGTATGACTCGGAGAGTGTTTCCGTCTTTTTTTCAGAGCATATTTTCACACTCATAAGATGCCTGTAGTTCATAAAGAAAGTGATAATAGATTAGATTTTTCAGTGGTCTACAAGATTTTACTTCTACGTACCGCGTTAAAAATCTCCGCGTGCAATTTAGAACCACAAACATCTCTCTGACGAACCAGATATTTATTTTTAAAGCCTGTTACACTTGGGTTTTTACACGAGTCAAGAGAACACGTATCGGGGCAAAAAAGACAGTGTTATTGTTGAAAAGTTACAAAAGAAACCATCAAGATTGGACATAATAGGAAGTAATATTTCAATATATCGGAGAAAATTCTCTTGCTTAATTGTAATTAACCAAACACCACAGGCTAGCAACTCCACTGGATGAAATGGCAAGATTTAGGGAAAAAACAAATTAGCACAAGAAAAATTGAACACACGTAACAAAAAATATATAGTTATTTGTACTTCGTAGACTTCAAAACACAACCATTGATAAAGTTTCGACTGTTCCTTTTACTTGCCAATTCATCTGTATTGTTGAAACTTGTGCATCACTTTGTGCATTGAAAACCTTGATTTGATTTAGACATCACGTTAAAAAATTGTGCGAGGTGATGCAAAGGATTAAGTTAGCGGAAAATTTGAAATCCAACCATTACCATTTGTGGGGGGTCTTTTTACAATTTCTGTCGAAAAAGTTGTCAGGGGAAACGCTGTGCAAATTCCTCCAAATTTTCCCGCCAAAAGTCTTAGTATATAGAGAAGAAAATTTTTCTAAATATCTTTTAAATGATCTTATCAGTTATTATAAATAAAAGAAGTACAACAAGAAGCGGATTTATTGTGCACTTTATTTTTATTACTTGAGAATAAAAAGTTGTAAATACATCTTGGAAACTAAGATAAGACAAAAAACAACGCATGTTTAATAGGACTTTTATCGCTGCGTATAGATACAATTTAAAAAAAACGGCGCATGCGTATTTTGAGCGCACATATTTTTTCTAAGTCTTTTGGCGGGAAAATTCAATACATTTGAACAGATGTTACTTACAGAGACTATAATTTCAAAAAACAATTTGGCGCATGCGTATTTTGAGCGCCCATATTGGCGGGAAAATTGAAAACGTCTAACCGGATTTTGCCCAAAGAATAACTCTAGAAACAAAATTTACTAAGAATTTATTAGCTATAGACTTGAGAAAATAAATTGAATTGTACTCCGGATTGTGCTTCTTGAAAAACCTTGAATAAACCCGCAAAGTATAACTTGTTTTGTGAGCTAAATGAATTGCAAATTTGATAATCAGCCTTTGATTCCTTGCCAAAAAAAAAAAAATGGTCGCGAGATGAAAATAATGTCATCTACTTTAAATTTAAAACGGATCCAATGAGATGATCATGATAGGCCCGGTCAAGAGTCCATTGAGTAATGGGCTCCTGGCCCGGTTTCCTTTACTTCTTCTTGTCGATCGCGATGCCTCTGTGTAAATATACTAAAAAACAAAATAAAAAGACTAACATAAATTACCATGCAAATTTGCACTTGGCATCAAAGGATTATTTCCCTGTAATCTAAAGTAAAATACATGACAGACATACTGAAATCAGTGATAAAGCTACACCCCCTATCGTCTTCAGTTTTTTGAAAAGCCTTGAAAGATTTCATGAACTTTTTTAAGGAAAAATATTGTTATGTTTGTTGTTTTGCAAATTCCTTTGACAGACTGAATATGCATTTGCACCTCCTACTCACCGCCACGAAATTTATTTTATTCAAGAGGGATGATTTTGGCCTTTTATCCGCAATATTGTTAGTATCAGCGGAGGTTGAGTAGGAAAAAACACTTACGATTGTGCACAGAAAAAATCTACATGTACACTTCCTACTCAAAGCCGCAAGATTTAAAGGCAAGATTTCCGTATAATCCATACTTCATCATGTATTCATTATCTGATGAAAGAAAACAAGGGCGAAACGACAGATAACCTTTGAGACTAAAGCTTTTCCAATGTAGCTACTTTTGACTTAATTGAAGAAAATTAAATGGAAAAACACTTTGCCTATACAGTAGCGTTTTATCTTTGAATCTCCCTATAATGTCTTTTTTTCACAATAACATGATTAAGCTTTGAGAGGATTGTTTGAAATCCTTGAAACTAAGGTGCTAAACAAAACATATCATGGTTTTCACCTTTTTTGTTTTATTTTCTTTTCTTTGATCATGTGACACGAAACACGTTGCCATATTAAACGACACGACGATCTAGGAATACAACGATAGCAATTTCTTTTTTCTGTCGAAAGAGAAAAGAAATTCTAGAATTCGCTGCCTGATTTTCAATTCCAGCTCAAAACAATTTTAACACACAGGAAGCGCAAGAGAGGGTCTAGTGTTTGGTCTCCAATTTGTTTAACGAACGTATTTTTAAGACTGAGTCTTGTTTAAGAACACTTTTTTAAACATTTCCTAATATAAGGTAACTCTTTAGCCATCGTTGAATAAGCATGATTTATCATTGTCAAAATAGATCAGTCAACGTGTAGAATTCTCTATTGGTACTCATCTCTGAATTTCAAAACCAAGCTCGAAAACTCAACTCATCCGCCAAATAAACACCATTTATTTCGCGTAAAGTTGGGTTTGAGAAAATATCTTCTAGCTGAATTGAATGTCTCTGAATTAATTAAACTGTCTGCTACGAAAAGAATCTTACTAGCCCCAAAAATTGACTGATAAAATCACTGTATTCGTAGTCCCTGCTGTGACAACGAATTCAATAAATCAGTTTGAACCCGATCGTGAGCAACAAGGCAAAGATCAAAAATACAAAATTGGAATCTTAAATGTTAATCAAGAGGTACATATGTCTAAAATATTGAAATGCAAGAGGAAATGCAAGTAGCAAAATTAAAGCAATATTGGGATTAGATAGAGGAAATATCTCAATTTAGATTTCCGACTCAGAAGACATTCGTCTTTTGCTCTGTTGTCAATCACCTTTAGGGAACATTGAACATGTTTCCAAGAGTTCTGAACGACACAATAAGATCAATTTTTCCGATCACAAGTAGCTTTTGATCGAACAGATAAATCAGGACAGTTTAAGGGCTAATGAAACGCAGCAAATCTTAATAGCCGATGCGATCTAGCCACCTAGCAAACGCATGATGTAGCATCCACATGTACACATCATAGACCTATTTTCAACGAACTAAGTAGTAAAGCTTACCTTGCCATATTTTCTTTCTCTTCGTTTCCTCTACATTCACTCCCATGCCTTCATATTTAATCAATCTTCAAGTGGCTCCATTAGAAAGCTTCATCCGACTAATTAGGGAAAGAATTTGATATAAGTTGAGACTTAAATTTATCAATCATTAACTAAATCAGGAAAACTACTCGCACTGAAAAACAAAACTCTAAAGGTTTCTGCCTTACATCCACGTTATTTCAGAAATCTGAAACGACTATTGGATGCATCTTCATTCGTCTATTTTACAAGTTTTGACTCGATTTGAACTGACTGTCGGGAGAAACATTTCCTTCTTCTTTCCTTCTTCTCCAAAACCTCTTCTATGCTCGGGTGGACTTTTAATTGATGAAATTGCCCTAGAAACCTAATCCAAAGGACATATCTCGCGGCGTGGAATTACTTGAGTGCCAAGAACTTGTTTGAAATACTTCCACCTTTAATCTCGAAATTCTAAACTTCATAAAGCGCGCTGAACAACAGCTTACAATCGGTACTTACCTGATTCTCACAGCAAGTTCTTTCATTTGTGGAAAGCTTTGTTGTGTGCTGCGAGTCTGTGCCAAATCTTCAGGTAAGCCTTGGACGTCAGACTTGACCGTTTGATGAGTTTTTGCAGTCAGCTTTTCACTGAGAAGTGAAATTGCTAAGACCACGAGGAACCATAAAATGCAAATGACTAGAAGATTCCATATGGAAATTCAAATTTGCGGAAAAAACCCTAGGGACGAGGATAGTGTAACGTTAATAGCGATATTTCCTGCCACTTGAAATTTTGATTTCTCTAAGGTTTTTATATATTATTCGGCTCTATTTTTACAACATACAGTTTTGAATTGTAAAAAAAAAATGACGTGAAACTTGCTAAAAATATAATCGGCAAGAACTTTGAAAAATAAAAGAAAACAAGTGCGTTTGGAGAGGTCACAACGAAGGCGTAGACACCCGCGGGACGAGGAGGTCTCGTGCCCTTGGATGACTTACCTCTCGTGTGCTTTGCATTGCTTTAGATCACTTCCATCGCTTATCTTTGCAGCTGCAACGCCTAGTCCTAGTCTTTCATTCCCCTTCCTCAAAGAGAGACCCTGGGAACAAGTTTACCACTGAAACTTGACGCATCCAAACCTTATTCAAAATCAAGTATAATTCTAGCAATTGAATCTGAAGAGAAAACACAAATAACAATTTTTGAAGCTAAATCGTAAAACAACTTTACCAGATAGTAGCGACTTATTCGCGACATAAAAGGAACTGTTTTGTCGAAAAAAAAAAAAAAAACCAACTCACATTGCATCTGACAATTCTTCAACGTGGTCAATGTCTCAATTTTAATATCCTATATTAACTTTACATTTTTGTCAACCTTTGATCCAGCACATTATTTTTAGTAATTCATTTACATTCTTAATTTGAAGAGTAGAATTTTACTGCCTGTAACAAATAAATTTCATCGACTAAATTTCGCATTTATATTAAATAAGCGATGTGACTGGATATCGCATGTTTTCCACGGTTATACCCCAACAAAATTTCCATTCACCCAAGCTCAAATATCAGTTACCCTCTCCCTGAAATGTTGTAGAGGAATGCAATATTATATTCATTTCAAAATGTAACAAATACACCAAAATATTCTTGATATGCTCTACTTTGGATATAAAACTGACAGAAATATTTATCTTCCTCGCCTGCGAGGTTTGTAGAAATTGCAAGGCTATCGAGCTATCGAGGTTAAATCTTTTAAGAACATTCAAATTGGGTACCGCAACATTTTCATGACAGCGTTACGTGACAATCACGAAATAATTCCAATTCTTATCAGATTGTCTATGGCTAGTAACAGAAAATGGGAGGGCGTGACGGAAAACGCACCAATTACGTGACAGTATTTGCGGCAAAGTGCGAATCCATTCGATCTGTTATATCAGAAACTGTAAATAGTCCTAAATAGCTTGTGAAAGAAAATGAGATTAAGTGATGGTAACGCAACATTTTTGTGACAGCGTACATAATCATTCGAATTAAATTGTCTATAGCTGGTAACAGAAAGTAACAGAACATGCCGTTGTCCAAGACTCCTGCATGTTACGCTCATGAGAGCGTAACAATGTACCAAGCTCTCAGTACACAGGAGCTTTCTCCACGTTGCCCACATTTCTTTTCCCTGATAATGTTCTCTTCAAGCATACAATGCACAGATCATTTCCTTCTCTCGCCTCCTGGCTGGCAAGATGGAAGCTCAGAAATCCGTGGGGTAAATCCTCTAGGATGTACAGTTCCACGTCTTTCCCGAGGGAACGTAGCCGGCGAGCAAATTCAACTGAATCGTCCAGTATGGGGTCCAATGTGCAAGCCTAAAGGTGAACATACAGAGGATAATATAAAGGATGAGGCAGATGAACTAAAACGGAGCTAAACGGCTCTAAATCAGCCCAGAAAAAACTCGTACAATACTAAGGAACAACCACTTAAGAGAGGTAACTTTGTTTAATTCAAATCTAGTTCAGAGTTTTCGGTTGTGAGTGCGAACGTTCGTCAACATACAGATCCTTACATTTCGCCCATTGCGCAACGTAAACATATTTGCATATACACGTAGGCTCGTTGTGCGAGCTTGGGCTACCAATCACAGGAAAGCAAACTTACCACAAGATCAATTGGTGGTAAACTCTTCAACATTTCATCAGGTGCCAGAAGTGGAGACATATACGGGTTCTTGGCAATAGGAATATGCACTTGAGACATAGACTGGGTCCTTGAATGAGACTTGTCATCATGTCCCACCTCCTCGTCCTCATCTGGTGATGTACCCACATCTTCGTAGGGCTCCTCTTGAGGCATTTCAAGAGGAAACAAAAGAAGCTCTCCACTAGGGCTCTCTGGAGACTCTACCACGTTCACTAAGTGGCACTCTTCAATGTCCCTATGGTAGTGCACTCCTATATGTTCCATCTCGTCTCCTTCGCCATGTTTGCTTCTCTGAGGACTTGTGGGTCTACTGGGTATGGTGTCTTGGGAATGTCTTCGGGAGTGGGAATGCCCAGATGAAGGGCTACTAATTTCAGAGTCCTTTTCTTGGTCCGAGACACCTTCCTCTGAATGTTCCCCTGATGAATGCACCACACTAGTGCAGTGATAACCAACGGCTGTCTCTGTGCTGGGGCTTGCCATATTGTTGACAGTCTCTGTCTCTTCAAACTGCGGTGAGCTCAAACAACTATGGAAACTCTCTGGCCCTGATGGTGAAAGGGCTTCAGAGTGGCTACCACTCTTTGCAAATTTAGACTCCTTTGAGCCAACTCGTAGCAATCTCAAGAGAGAGTTTGTCTTTCTCCTTTTCACGACACTCACTGGCTGGCTTGTTTCACCTGTTAAAGATTTTATTGAATTTGTGGTGCAGTCATCAAAGGGTGACTTCCCCATACCTGAGTAGGCAGCCAAGCAAGCACCTAGCAACCCTGTAGGAAGCAGTGGGTCCATAAGGCTCAGCAGACGGGAAGGAGAGGGTACCCACTGTACATTGAATGGTGCATAGGCAGCTAGGATGGAGTCTGGTGCACGGATGCCAACCTCTGATGCACGCATGCTTAATGACACGCACAAATTGCCCCCTAAAAATAATTATGCAGAAAGATTAGATGGGCGAGTGCCAGGTCCTGATGTGACCTTGTCATGTGGTTAAACAATGTTAAATTCAATTGTCCATGACTGCTAACTTGATGGCTTACTTTTTCTTCTTGATATTTTTTCCCACATTTTTATTTCTTTAAGCACAGTTATTGGTAGTTGAGACCTGGTGTCTCCACCACAGTTGCTTAACTGGCAATTCAGTGGCTGCACGATTTTTTGCCAAACGATAAGCAATGGTCATGATGCAATTTTGGAAGAGGAAAGAGCAAGGTGGAATTTAAAGAACTTCAATTTTCAGGCCATTGGCATTTAAAAGTGAGATTTTGTAACAGCTCAAAAATTTAAAAGTGTGCTGGAGGGCAAAGTTGGCCCTGAAGTGTTAGTAAAAGAAGACTTGCCACAAAAGGGGGAGAGCTGGAATGATTGGCACCAGACCATGATGGCTGGAAAGTGTTTATGGGGGTAGCAAGAGTATAAAAGTGGGCTGATGATAAGACTTATAGCATTGATAAAAATTAACAACAATATTGACTGACATCAAAAGTGGTATCTAACCTGCTGAATCTCCAGCTAGGCAGATACACTTTCCAGTAGTACCCAGCTGATGGAAGTTATTCAAACACCAAGCATACACAAAGAAACATTCTTCCAAGGCCCGTGGAAAAGGAGCTTCTGGTGCCAATGAATAGTCTATAGATAGAATGGGCACACCAAGTTCACATGCCCAAGTGCGAAGGTACATCTGAAAAAAATATAAAGTGAGCTTGGATTTGCAATTTCCTTGTAAAAATATTGTAAATATAACATGCCTTGTAAAATATAAAGAAATAGAAGAATATTTATACATTAAAAGCTTTCACCAAAAAGTCTCCTTGGCATATAGAATAACTACTGATAATAATATTGTACGAAAATTCTGAGCACTACAAATATCTTGATCTGCATAAATACATTAATAATGAAACAAAAGAGAAAGCTTTAACTGTGAAAACAGCTTACTTCCTTGTTAACCCATTACACCCTATCATCAGTAAGCATGTTCCCCATACTGTTCTTTATACATTTCCTAGGATGCTGTCAACAAGAATTTGTTGAACAATCAAGAGGTTCTCTAGTTGCTGATCCCTTTTCATATCCTCATGACCTCAATGTGTGATTTAGGGGTGATATTGTAAGGAGAAATTAGATGTTAGTCACTCCTAAGGGTCGTTTGATCTAATAGAGAGTGTCCAATTGATAGATGTTTCACCTTTAATAATATACATGGAAAAATTTCTCAGTTCTGATTGGTTAAGATAAATGCTGTTTTCAGGTAATTCAGTGCAGAAGAGAGTTAATTCAGTGCAGAAGAGAGTTAATTCAGTGCAGAAGAGGGTTAATTCAGTGCAAAGGAAGTAACAAATCAGACATTCTGATTGGTCAATAATCAAAGAAACTCACAGAAAGCCAATCAAATGTGAGCCTTGGATGTCACACCAAAATTTGAAAATTTTCGAGCGAAACAATGGCTGGCGTTTTAAATAGGTTTTCTTTCGCCACTGCAGCTCAAAAACAGCTCAAAAAACAAAAACACTGTATGTGTGCTTCCAAAATTTTGTCCATTTTAGCTTTCAGTGATCTGTTTTTCATGTAAATCATTAACAAGTAACAACATGATTTTTTCATGCAATTTGGTGTAAAATAAGCACTAATATATTTTTCTTTAAAAACTTTACTCATGCTTATCAACACCAAATCGCACTTGAAATCATGTTGCAACCAATACATATGTTTACCAGCTCGACTGATATTAGAGGTGGTCACTCTCACATACATGCATCATTTCATACCTCATGTGATTTTGATGACTGGGCGACAAACCCTCCACCATGTACATGGAGTATCAAGCCATCACTTTTGGGCTTTGGTGGTCGGCCATGGTGTGAAACATTGTCACTTCCATCTTTACTCTGAAGCACAGAATAAGCCAATGAGACATTAATGTGTGCATTATACAAATTAGAATATGAATAATTCTCCTTCTTGATTTCAATTTACTGAGGTATTTTTTATTCAAAAGTTGAGAATATTCTTTTGTCATTTTATTCTATTTTCTTGATGTTATATTTCTTAACCCTTTACACCCTAACATCAGTATGCATTTTCTCCATACTGTTCTTCATACACTTCCTTAGGTGCTGATGAGAAGAATCTGTTCAACAATCAAGAGCTTCTTTTGTTAATGATTATTTCCTTCATTCTCATGACTTATTTAAATAAATGTGTGATTCAGGGGTGCTGTTGTGAGGATAAATTAGATGCTAGTCACTTTCAAGGGGTTGAAAATTTTTATGAACCTCTGACCCTGGCTATTTGAAATTTTCAACAGTAAATGACATATCAGCTCATACCTGCCCTTCTCTCCATTCATACGACAACAGTCGCACTTGAACTGGAGCCAGACCAGACCAAGAACAGGGTGGAGCAATACTCACAGACTCCCCAGTCAACATCTGAAGTTCAAATGGCTCCGGAGGAATAAAGAACACCCTGTTCACTTTCATTGCAGAACAAACAAGCAGTGGCACATGCTGAAGTGCAACAAAACATTCTGGTTATAAAAGTGGCAGTTTGTAGATTCAAACAATTCCCATACCTACTTTATTGGTTTTATAGAGCGTCATAAAAATACACTTTAAAAGGAGAGAATCTAGGCATCAAGTGGTTCTTCAAAAAGCACAACTTTGACTCTGTTACAATTGACTCCAACTAACTCAAGATTTTGGGGAAAATTGACAATAGTCTGAGAATAAATTAGCACGATATCCAGAGTTGAGACAAAACCACCAGAAATAAGGAAAATGTAGTGTTTATTGACCAGTAAGACTGCTGCCAGACTCTACTTTTTCCTCTCACAATTGACAATATCCCCATTTTTAAAATAGTATTATAACATAGCTAGTAAATTTGTGTAATCAAATTAAATTGTGCGAGTGTGCTTCATACTCCTGATGTGTATGCTCATGACGTCAGCAAACAAGTCCCACGAGAAAAAAAATATTTTTAATCAGGTTGAAAATGTTATAAAACAATTGGTTCATATGTCAGCTGTGAATTCATCAAGATATGAAGCACTTGGGAAGTTTGGAGGGCACTCAAGAAGCTAGAGTTGCTCTTGGCTATACCTTGAGCAACTCTTATGCTTCTTTCATGCTCTCCAAACTTCCTGTGTGCTTCACATCTTGATGAATGCACACTGACATATGAACCAATTGTTAATTGAGTAAGAGGAAAGCATTCTGCTGCAGGAAGTACCTGAAGTCCATAACCTTCAGTCAAACTCCAAAAGGCTTTACAGAATTCCATGTTAGTTTTCTGTGTCACATCTACAATCATCTTGGCTCTCATCTCAGGATTCACAGTGTATTTCCCACTGTTTAAGAAAGATACTGTAGCACATGCCATGCTGCTCTGCTTGTGACGATGATAACCCTCGGCAAATGATGCCATTGCCACACAGACAACTTGTAAGAAATGCCGCATACCACTAGAAAACTGATGATGAATATTAGAGCATTTCATTTTTAAAGGAAAACATTTTAAGAACCTATTTTCTAAGTAGTAAAATCAGTTTTCTTGATACAAAAGCTAAAAATAAGCATGATTTGCTGAGTGGAAACTGAATATATCAAATGTACCATATACAAAATTAGGTTTGTTTTGAAAAGTTAATGATATTGTGGCTCAAGTAGCTTAAGTAGAATTTCTAGGCAACTCCCAGTTTTCATGTTAAATTTAAGTCCAGAAATTTATTATTCACCTGAAATATATTATAAATATACGTGGAATACAGGCAGAATTATCTTATCAATATCATTTACTGTATCAGGTCTTATTTCAATATTTTTGAATCTGCTGTTTGGTAAATAATTCCTTCCATTTTTCTATTTTTGAGGGAGAGCAGAATAAAAACAAGAGGTGATAATATTAATAATAAAAACAAAACAAGACAAATAATGCTTAAGAGAGATTATGATTCAAATTGAAAGTTTCAATTTATTATCAGACAAGAAAATCGTCTTGACGTTCGAATTTGTCAAGCATTCATTACGGTTTTAAATTTATTGATAAACGAATCATTGATAAAACCACTTTAAGTTAAGTGAACTAAAGATAAGCGAACCCAAATATTTATTAAAGATCACTCGTAAATATTCACCTGAAAACCCAACGTTCTACCATAAAAGCACTCCCTATCCAACTTCTCAACTTCCAACATGACTTTAGAGTCAAAGTTCTCTGGAAATAAGTTGTCTGGCACACTGTCCTCTACCACGATCTTGGCAAAGTGCAACAATTCGCTCGTCCTTTGAAAAACATTGGCGAAAGCTTCGACTTCCAAGCTATAGTGATGAGATCGAAAATAAAATCTATCTCGATGAGTTTGGCAATAGGCAGATAGTTCTGTAACAGAATGAAGGCAATGTTCGACAAGTCTAAGTAGACTCCTGTAGCCATTTCCCTTGATGTCGTTACTGTAGTCGAATAAGGGTGCTGTCTTCGCCAGCAAAGTTGCTCCTTCTTCCAAAGAATCAATGGTTGATAGCATCAGTTTAAAGCCATTGTAGAGCTTTTTATAGACTTCCTTACTTGTGTATTGTTCAAAATAATCTGTATTGTCTGCAAGGATTCGTTTTAAGTGTCGAAAGAGAAGAGGTAAAAAATCGTAGTCACCTAAGTCAATTTTCTCCAGAGCCTCGTTTGTGTCCGCCATTTTGAAACCCCAACACTAACCAAACTCGATTAAAACGACAGTCGCTAATCTTGCTAAGCCTCCAGTTTTCGTCAATGTCCTTTGCGTTGGCAAAATCTCCCTACAAGCCACTTAGCAAGGGAATATTGCAGACAGCTGAAATAATTCACCGCAACGGGAGGCATGTTTTTAGTTAGGACGCCTAAACAATGCAAGAAAACCGAAACATTATCACTTTTTTGGGATTATCTTCCGCGTAACTTACGCTCCTAAAAATAAAGTTTCATCAAATTTTCTTTGCGTAATAAAATTATCACGGTACAGCTCTGTTTGGTGTTCTCCCTTTGAGATGGAACAAAATTACGGGTTCTAATCAGACTCACACACGTGACGAAATTGTAGGACTTTGGACTGGACAAGAGGATAAGAACAACAGATTAGAACCCAAGTGTGCTTTTGTTTATGTTGATGTTGCTAATCCTAAACAAGTGATTTCTCTATAGAGTGCAAAACGTAAAAAATAAAGCACCTCTACCATAGAGCCCTTGGGAAATTTTTTAAATGAAAAGTGTCACAGGAGAAGAGCAGGATAAATTGAATACACAAATGCGTAGAAAACCACAAATGCGAACAAACTTAGAGAAATAAGATATTAAATGAGCGATACAGTAGCTTGGAAATAGTACTTTCAATGCACAAAAAATGGTCAACGTACATTTCCAACCTTGGAACATTTCCTAAAAAATTGACAGCCTGAGGAAATGGTTTCAATCCATCCCATGTTAAGAATTAACGTGACATCATAAATTTGCGCAATCTGAAAACAGGTGCCATGATGATAAATTACTCACTTTTAACTTTGACCTCAACGTTACATTCGATCACATGATATGCTTCACGGGAGATCTGGGGCCATTTGAGAAATCCAGCCTCTATCAAAATTTCTCAAAGACATGTAAATTCATTTTCAAGCGAGGTTTTTCCAGGGGTCGCCGTCGTGGCATCTCAAACTCCCTGCTTCTGAATATCTGAGGAAACCAGCTCTCTAAGGTGGGGCTCTCTTTCGTCTCCGCACCACTGGTAATGCTCGCAAACTAAATGCTTCACTTCGAAATGATCCCCTGTAAACTGACTTAATCAGTGACTGAGAGAATCTTGACTAAATTCCGCGCCAATCTAGCATTATGACTTAACTTTCGAGAAATTCATTCAACAAACGCAGCCAAAAGGGAACGAAATACAGGCTGGTTTGATTTTTGAACGAGTTGAAGACTTCCTGAAGAAAAAGCGCTCGAGTTCTGACTTTGATAGAGAGGCCATTTAAGTGGAAATATGCTTTACTTACCTTCTTGTGATTAAAGAACTAGGCAAAGTATATGATGTCGATAAAGTAGAGGATTAAAAAACAGGATTTGATGACGAGAATTCATCTCATGCTTCTCCGTACACCACACTCTTACTTTCCAAGTTGGATATGGTTCGCCTCTCGCACAGTCATGGCCGATAAGAACGAGGTGTTGATAGAGGATACGACGGTCTAGGAGTGTTTCTCAACCAAGGTTACACTCACATTTCCCCTGTCGAGATGATCTGATAAGATGCTCTTTCCTTCCGGCATTGTGATGTCATGTTGTCAAGGTGATCTACTACGAGCGTGCGCAACACAGCGAACTTTTTTTCCAATTTGTTCTTATGCAGGTTTAATGTTGACGAACCAGCCGTCATTTTATAGAAGCAATTTATTAACCATGTTGTGCACACAACATGCAGTTGCGAGAGACTGACATTGCCAAGACGAAGGAGACTTTGAGAAGGAGGAAGAGATAACGGAAAGCACCCTTTCTTCCCCCGTGCGCAATTCTCGCTCTTTCTCGCGTTATTGATTAAAAGTAGAGAGACAACTGGGAACGAATCAGCTTCTGTTACACTAAGACTGAGTATGAAGTTCGAGGTTGCTCAAGGCGAGCCCACATTGCTAGTTCCTCAGTCCATAAATAGTATAAAAAATCCAATTACGAAAAGAGAAGCTAGGATCCAAACTCATTAGAAAACATTTATAAAATAATTCAAATAGTACGCGCGCTCTGATTGGCCATAAAACCATTTTACATGAGCGTATGTAAACACGGTTTTCGTTCCTCTTTCATTAGTTATTTTATAAAAGACATACATTGTAAACACGGAAACCATAAAATAAAAAAACTTTTTAAATGAACCACAACATTTAGCTAAAAAAACTCCAAAAAATTCTCAAAATTCCAAACAAAGGGGCAACAAATTTGCGCAAATGAAAGCTCAAAATCAATTAACTAACTCCGTGAAAACAATCAACAAAAGTGGACGAAAACTGTCCACGTCGGTTTCCCAATATATGTCAAGGCTAGGGTTTTTTGACGCGATTGGCTAATTTGTTAAATCTCACGCACCGAGAGTGAATACAAAAAGAATAAAAAGGGAACAGAGAAAAATTGTTACTTGAAAATCTAATAACGAAAGAGATTTTCTACAAATAGTATTGTTTCCTTGACTTTTTAACCTTGCGGTTGCTGTTTGGAAAATAAAGCTAACATAAATTTCTTCTTTCACCAAAGTTCCTGTTCAAGTTTCTAGCCCATCTTGATAATATTACCTTCAGAAAATTGTTTATTTTTCCAATTGCGATCGATTACTACACAAGTGTAATTTCCGCCAGCCATTCTGTTACACAGATAAACGTACAGTAAATGTTCTTACGCTCAACAATTCCTTCCTTGACGAGTGAAAGAATGGAAAGAACAGTAAAGGCGCCAAAATATGTAGAAGTCATAAAATGCCGTTTATCTTAAGAGGTGGTTTATTGAAATTTCCTTCTATTTTACAAAGTTATACTGACAGCCATTCATGTCCTTCACAGATATAATTTGAGTCGTCACGCAACCATTTCTCCATGTGAAACGCGTTTTCAAGAAATGTGTTCAAGTTGCAGATAATACAGTTTTCCACCTTAATACAAAGAGGGGCAGAGACGAAAACAATAAAACTTCAAAGAAAATCAGAATTCGGAACTGTAGCACACAATATCATTCAACATATGCACTTAACTCTTAAAAAATATAGTAAGTCAGAAAGACACATGCTGTAAAGTTAACCCTCTGATGCAAGATAACCTTAATTTTACCGATTACCAAGGAACTTAGCGATCGATTTCTCCAAAGACGACATCAAGGGTGCCTGTGCAGACATAAAAAAAGGGGAAAAAATGCGTGAGATAACCAAGCATGTACGTAAGGTAATATTTCAGAGCAATTTTAGGGGTTTCAATAACTTTTTCTTTTTAGCGGCTGCCGATGGTTTAACAGGCAACCGTGCCATAGAGCGAAACCCAAACATGTGCGTGGTCGCACGCTCAACAGACAGCGATAAGAGGCCTTATAGGCGGCGGTAGGGTAATGGTAACCAGCTTTTATTGAGACCTCTTAATTTTGTGGTGTCAAAACTAATCTAAAATTAGGTAATTTTGTTTTATAAACTGAGTTGATAACGAAAATTGGTCACCGTAAGGAGTTCATACTGACGCTTCGACGTTCCGAGCGTCAGCCCTTCGGCAGAGCGTCGTTAGCCCTTCGTTGGCCCTTCTCTGGCTCTTCGTTAGCTCTTTCGCTACGACGAAGGGTTCACGCTCGAAATGTCTTCACGGTGGCCAATTTACATCATTTACTCAGTTGGTAAAACAATATTTTATTGCAAAACGCATACTGGGCGTTTTTACAAGCGTAAAAGCTAGTGAATGGTTTTAAGGCAACAAGTGGAATAAAAAAATTGTGGGTAACGTTTACCAATAATGGCCACAACATCAGCCAACATATGTCCAGTGGACATCATTTCCAAACCAGCCTGAAGATAAGAGATGACAAAAAAATCAGAAGGGTTTTATGTGCGAATATACCTGCAAGGACAAAATCAGGATGTGATAAATGTGGTTTTTAGTTTTCAAGCTGATTGGTTGAAAAAGTGGCGCGAGTTTTCTAGACCAATCATAGAACGAAGAATAGCAGAAACATGGCAATCCCGCATTACCTTCGACACTCGCTTAACCTCTTTAACCCCTTGGAGAGACTATTATCTAATTTCTCCTTACAATATCACCCTTGAATCACACATAAAGGTTACGAGAATTTAAAAAAAAGATCACCAACTAAGGAAGCTCTTGATTGTTAGACAAATTCTCCTTGTCAGCACCTTAACAAATATATTGAGAACAGTATGGAGAATATGCACACTGACCTTAGGGTGTTAAGGGTTAAAAATTGCTCTACCCTACGAAAAATGAATATCTCAACAAAGACTTCCGGTTGAGCCACTATGAAAAACCAACTTACCAAATGTGCAAATCCAGGCGCTTTTATTTTACAGCGATAAGGCCTGCTGGTGCCGTCCGAAACAAGATAAACACCAAACTCTCCCTACAGACAACAAGAAAAGAAGCTCCCCTTTTACTAACAATCCATCTCGTCATCAACATGAGAGGCCAGTCTCTCCCACAAACTTTCATCTTGGGCAACAAGGAGAAGGGTAAGACTTTGCGCAACGCGTTAAGTAAATAAGAATTTACCTCGAGAACACTACAATCAATGCCAAGGCATTAAGGTACAAAGGTGAAAGTACCCGCGCAAAGCCGGTCAATTCCGGTATGAGGTTCGTTTGTCATGTTCTTTTTCTTTTACAATGTTAATGTCAGTCCTTTCTGATAGTAACCCTTGCAATCAACATTGTCCAGGGGAAAAGAATCACCTCTAATATTACCACTTTCGTTCTCTCTTCACTTTAAGCCACAGTAATCTCTGTGCGACAAATCGCACTAATCATTAACGCGGGCACCTTTGCAAGTGTTTTGAAGGACGTCCCAAGACCTTTTAGCTTGGATTGTGAAGTTCATAACCACAGTTGCGTTGCAGAGTGTCAACAGAACACTACAAAAATGTTAAATAAAGCTAGCGCGCGATGCTCGTACCTTAGGGGCCTCAATCGCTGTGTATGTTGCACCCGGTGGCACTTGATAACCTTCCGTGTAGAGCTTGAAATGGTGAATAAGTGCTTCCATAGACTCCTGCAGAAGTCAATAAAAATCAAAGCAGACATTTTTTATTATTATTTTTTTAATAAACATCAATTCAAGAATTTTTTTGCACATTCTGCTGTTTCTCAAAAAAAAAAAAGTGCCCAGTCCCATATAAGCGCTCTGTTTTGAATAAGCGCCCTCCCTAGAAGTGCAATAAGTGAATAATGCCCCAGGCACTAAATCGAATCATTACAGTAATACAGGTTTCAAGTGTACAAAAATTTTAGTGCCGCACACCAGAATATAGTGTCAGGAGTAACTACACAGAGAGACAAATGATGAACCTATCATCATTGTTGTATTTAAGTACGATGATCAACCAATAACTGTTATTCCAATGATAGCAATATTATCATTACCTTCATTTCTGCCCTCTTTGGTGGTGAGATTTTGGCATCATCTACTTTAATCTCTCCTGCAGGCATCTTGTTCAGACACTAAAAGAAGGCAGGAACATTTTAATTGACTTGCCTCTTAAAATTGTTTAACTTAGATCCCAATGGCCATTTGTGGAGAGGCATTTGCCTTATGACAACTGCACTGCATTTCCTAAATTGTCATGACATGGCTCATAGTGACACATACCTGTTCAATAATTCTCAAACTCTGCCGCATTTCCTCCACTCTGATCAAATACCTGAAATGGTTTCAATCACCAAATGAAACAAAAAGTCAAACTTTTTGATTCTCAGTTAGTTGCCTCACCAGTACTCTCTCAATGCTCAAGTTTTTTTTTTTAAGTCTTACTGCACCTGTCATAACAGTCTCCATTTTTGCCAATGGGAACATCAAACTCCACTTTATCATAAGCATCATACGGCTGGGATTTTCGCAGATCCCACTTGATTCCAGATCCACGCAACATGACTCCACTATAGGAAAGAAAAAGACAAGATAATCATAAACCTTATCCCTTTAACTCCCAAGATCTCATAAGTAATTCTCCTAACTGTCTGCCATACAGTTCTTGTGATGTTAATTTGGAGAATTTGGTATTGGATCAACTCATGATCCCGTAGCTGATAAAGTTTTCTTTATTCTCATTACTTGTCTGCTTGATATTGTATTGATATTGTAAGGAGAAATTTTGTCTTGGTCATTCATGGGAGTTAAATGGTTATCTGCTGTGGAGGCCTGCCAACTGTGAGGCCACTATTTGCTTTGGACTTTCTAGATTGGTACTCTACCAATAAAAGCTAACCAAGCAGTGGTTAACACTTGATACAGGTTAAACTGTATGTAAAATGTCAGGTGACAAAATCTCACAAACCTGAAACCCCAGTTAAGAGCATCTTCCACTGTTACAACTCCAATATCAACTGTGCGCTGTTTCCAGATTCTGTTGTTTGTCAACATCTGAAATAATCAAAATGAACTTTCATAATAAAGCATTTCCTCCTTTCATAAATTCAACTTCTGCACTTCATTAGAACCTTTCACTAACTCACAAGTAATCTTGATTTTTCGAAAAGAGGCAAACCCACTGAATTTCTCTCCTCTCAATTTCTCTTCTCCTTTGTGATTTCAGGAAGTTACTTGCAGTGTACATGAAGCGATAGTTCTTTAGCGTAATGTGGAAAAAGGACTGATTTCCTTGGAAACTCAAGATCAGCATGTTGTTCAATTTCATTCAACAGTGCTCTACAAACTAAAATGTTTTGTGTCCAAGAAACGTATTGAAGAATTTGAAATGTATATTTATTTAGAGTCTCTGAAGCTGACTTTAGCACGTTAGCCTCAAACGTCAAGAGATGAAATTGCTGGATTTGTTGTAAAATTACCTCTTCAAGGTCATCTAGTCTCTCAGCAAACTTTGAAATGAAGTCATAAATGTCATCCATTAAACCAATTGGCATATCCTGATAAAAAATAATAATCATTTGCGCATGACAATAATTCCATTTTATTAGCATGTGCAAGATACTTATCATCTGAGTGACAAAAATGAGTCAAGATTGCAATTGTTTTGCTTTACTTGAAATTGTGAAGGGTCAGGTATAGTTGCGTTGTACTCTCGACCAAAAAGATCCAAAACTAAAACCAAAATAACTTGGTATCTCATGATTTTTTAGGCTTGTTTACTAAGAGTTCTGATTGACCTATTGTGCTGTTAACCACCATTCTAATTGGCCATTGAGATTGCTTTGGCTGAGCCATCCAATTGTATCAAACACCAACACAAAAACTTTTACAATTGCAGTAGCTGCTTATCACATTCTGATACTCAACAGAATTTATCGTGACATCAGTAGCAACCTGCAATTTATTGCTTGGGGGGGGGGGGGGGAGGGAGAGAGGCAAGATCCAAAGTTTTTAAAGCAATAAACATCACATAATTTACCAGATCTCACATAATAGGAATTTTCATTCTGGGAAGACTGGACAATCCACTTGTTCTTTAAGATGCATAGGGCCTCTATGTTTATCTAGCTTTGCAACCCCATTCCACACCCCCTCAATCCTGACTGTAACCGATTACCCTCTGTCTTCACATAGCTCATAGAGAGGAAAAAACTGAGCATTACAACAGTCCATGAGAAGATCTTAAAATCATTACAGTTTGTTCCTATTTTGTCAAATATTAACTCGAAGAGTGTTATTATGAACTTACCAGGGAAACTCCTCCTGGTCTTACATAGGCTGCATGCATGCGTGCACCAGACACACGTTCATAAAATTCCATCAACTAAAGAAAGACCAAATCAAATCCTTAACATTTTATGCTGGGAGTGAAAGATCTGCAGTTTACTAAGTGATAAACATCACATATTTGACCAGCTCAGATAAGAAAAGCAAACTTAAACTGTGCTAACAAAGTCTGTTTACAAAACTGGATCACATGTTGTATTCACCAAAACTCATTGCAATATCAGGTAAGTGAAGTATCTGATTGGCTAGAAAGGAAGTGAATAGTAAGTACTATTCACCTTGGAGCAAGTGATGAAACAAAATCATGGCTCTGCTTATTTTTTGGTATATTGCTGTGTTTCGATGCAAGGTAAATATTCACCACTATTCCCCCCACTTCAGTGAATACTTGTTAAGTATTTAAAGCCTCAAAATTGAGTCACAAGCATTCTGAATAACCAGTGTAGACACTGGAATGCACTGGTTGATAGGTTATTTTGACATTCCTGATAATAAAGATGCCTAATTACACCCATTGTAGATAATATGGTTTTTTTTCTGATCCCTTCTGTTAGTTCTTTGATTACAATCACCTTTTCTCTCTCTTCAAACAACCAAAAGAATGGTGTCATGGCACCTACATCAAGAGCATGAGTACCTACACCCATGATGTGGTTCAGTATTCTGGTGATCTCTGCAAACAACACTATAAAAGGAAACAAATTATACACAAGATTTAGCAGTAGATTAATGGAGCAGAAGGATGGTGCAGAAAAAAAAGAAAGTGCCCTTGAATAAGTTCAATTTCAGCTGTAAAGAACTCTGAGAATTTTTCTTGCAATTTTTCCCTAACTTCCTTAATTTGAATGCATGTTCTAACAAACTGTTTGTATTTCAAGAACACCTTCAAATGTTAGCTATTGAGACAAAGCTTAAATGTACAGCATACCTCTAATCCATTTAGCTCTTTCTGGAATATCAATGTTAAGGAGTCTCTCCACTGCCAAAGAGTAACACTGCTCATTTGTCATCATGGAGACATAATCCAGGCGATCAAAGTATGGCAGGGCCTGAAAAATTATTGATGAGATCAAAATGAGACTTTATACTGTCACTCGGAAAAAAAAGTTTAAACTAGTGAAGATATCAGGACTACTACATTATGATAAACTCAAAGGGTTTGTAACCACCTCGTGCAGAATAATAAACAGTGTCACTTTCACCCTTTAACTCCTAAGAGTGACTAACATCTAATTTCTCCTCCTAGTAACACTACTAAATCCAACATATAGGTGAGGAGAATAAAAGAAATATGGCCAGCTAAAAAAACCTCTTGATTGTCAAACAAATTCTCCTTGTCAGTACCACAGGAAAACTAAAAAGAGCAGTATGGAGAATATGTATACACTCAAATGCATTGGTTTTAACCTTTTCATCCCTAAGAGTGACCAGCATCTGGTTTCTCATCACAATATCACCCCTGAATACATTAGGGTCACAAGAATAAAGGAAATGATCACCAATGAAGAAGCTCTTGACTACTAAACAAATTCTCTTTGTCAGCTTCTTGGGAAATGTGCAGAGAACAGTATAGAGAATTTGCATACTGATGTTCATGTTTAGCCACAACTTTAAATTTAGAATCCCATTGCTCTGTAAATGAAACAGTACCACATGAAAGTACTGCTCACTAGCTTTCATTTTTAATAAATGGTTAAACAAGTGGGGACAGCTAATTATAAAAAGCATAGCTCAGCCTAACTGAGTTGAATGGTACAATTCACAGTTCAGTATTAAACAACTTTAATTCTATATACACCTGCAGATATGTTTTGTATTCTATCAACTTCTCTGTTGCACGATGCAAAAGACCAATGTGTGGATCTGCACGCATAATCACCTGAAAAGGAAAGAGAAGAAGACAGAATGAGTTGATAACTCATTGGTCCCATTCTGATGGCATCATTAACTGCTCTGGTTACTTTTTTATATTTACATCAGATTTACAATGGATTTGTGCATATGTTGCCATTCAATGCTTATTTCACATGAGAATAACTGTTTGTGATCAATGAAAAACTTAAATCATCATGATAAAAGTTTACCAACCTCTCCATCAAGTTCCAAAACAAGCCTCAACACTCCATGGGCAGCTGGATGTTGGGGACCAAAGTTGACTGTCATGTTTGTGACCAGCTTTTCCTGAATAGGAACTACAGAGCGAAAAAAAAGAATTGTCAGCATCACTGAAACTGTCAAGAGCTAAGATTCAAAATTCTACAGAGAGCAATTTTTCAGTTCTGTGCCCAAAGATTAGAGTGGGAACAGTTTCCTGATTGTGAGAAAATTCATGGGAACCTTTTTAAATTACCATTAGTCTCAATATGAATTTTAGGTTCAAGCTTATCATAAATGTTGTATCAATAATGTTGTGGCTGGCAAGAAATGATTGTTACCATAAAATTTTAGGGCTTGCATAGCCATCATTGATATCAACATCAACATCAATGTCTAATTCAACATTTCAACATTTTAAGCATCACCATCCTCATTGACATTTGACCCTTTAACCTAAGATCCAACCAGTAATTCTCCCTTCTGACTGCCACACATTTCCTCAAGAATAAAAAAGGAGAATTTGGTCTTGTATCAATATAACACCCTCCAGCTGATAGGCTTGTCTTTTTTTACATCCTGCTTGCAAGATAACATATTGGAATCCCAATGATAAATTACATGCTACTGTAGTCACTTCCAGGTGTTAGAGTTTTAAAAATATTAATACTGTACCATCAACATCCCACTTAGCAGATTCTTCATTAGGGTACATAATAGTTCCTGCCATGGAGGCTAATTCACCCTGCAACTTCAGCGGTTTCATTTCCTCTTCAACCTCACTTACAGGGAGCCGACGTAGATGTCTGCACAAAATAGAATAAAAAAACAGTCGTAAAGCCCTGTAAAATAATATGTTCAATACTTTTAGAGGTTTAAAAAGGGATTCGTAAAGCTGAGACAAATATCAGCCGGTTAAGATACTTAATGTGGTTCAGTTTGTTTTTGTTATTTCTTTTTGCAGGGAAAAGCAGAAAAATAGCAAAAATACTTATGTCATAAAGAAACATATAACCTGAAAATTAGATGCAACATTCGCTCATGCGCGATCAACATTAGGAAGCATATCCTTTCAAAACAACACCAACGTTATACGCTGTTACATAACATCATTTACATTCATTTCTTGCCTTGTTGGCAACACTTTGAACATCTCTGGTCAAGTAGGAAATATATTTCATACATTACCGGACAGAAGAAACCACAGGAACACGGCGGATTAATGATTTGCCCAGAAAATGGCGACCACACTGACGAACGACACTCGCCGCCATCTTGAATCTCCTTCTCTGACAAATTCGTACCCATTCCCACCAAAAAGTTATAATGTTCAAATATATCTTTAGGGGAGGTAGCAGAGTAGTTATTGGTCGAAAAGGTATTGGGGTGGTACAGAGAGGAGGTAAATAAATCACACTCGCTGTTGAAGCACACTTCACAAAGAACCATCATATTTTTTAGGTCTCTTTCTTTATTGCAATTTTAGTATTCCTTCTTTATTTGTATGGGGGTTGATTTTAACCACATGCTATAGGCAACAATTCCAACTTGTGTAGAGAGGATTTTTCAATAGGTTTTAAACTTGCATTTCAGTGGAATGTGGAGGTATGTCAGGTTGTGATTATAAATCATCATGTTTTCATTTCAGAAAGGGGATCAATTGCACCCTGAGGCCTCTTCCCCCCACTGCCCATGATTCTTGATACTTTTCATTGCCTCAGAGGTGTAAAATTTTACATAACCCAAATGTTAATTGCTAGTTAGGGCTCTGATGAGACACTGTTATACTTATTTCAGTAGCATGAAGTGACTGCAAGTGTTATTGCTCCCACCAGGGAAGACGCAAGTTCATCAAAGTGGTACCCTTGTCATTCCATCAGGATTTCCTAATAGACTATGCATACTCATTTTAAGTGCTAAGTAGAGAGGGGCAAAGATGTCAGTGTGGTACCTGACAAAACAACACAGTGACTCAGCCAGAATTCAAACAAAGATCTTGTAATTGCAAGACAAGCACCATAACCACTAGCCCACCACATCTCCTTACATTCACCATGATACTCTTAAAACGTCAACAACAACCTGGTTTGAAAAATTTTACAACCAAAAAAAAAAGAACCACATTACATAAATATAATGGTATAGCAAGGTTGAATGTAACTCTCGAGCAGATTCAACTTTTATTACTTTTGTTTTTAACTAATTACTACGTGTAATAATTAGACATCATATTTAGTACATCCCACTTATCAAAAACAAAATTAAACAAAGGATAAGTGTGCTCAAAATTCAGTAGAAGATATTAAATAGCTAGGGACTTAAAGCACTAAAATAAAATAAGCTCTTACTATGACATCTCCACCACTGGTTTTTGGTCTTGTTAGCTAACACTCAACAATAGTTACAATTGATTTATAAGAGAAAAAATTGCCCATAGTTAAGAAGTTCACTACAGGAAATGTGATTAGTCAACCCTTCAACTCCTATGAGTGATCAAGACAGATTTTCTCCTTACAATGTCAGTACAATCTCAGGCAGACAGGTGATGAGAGAAAAGAAAATATCAACTACAAGATTACCTATGAGTTCCTCCAATACCAAATTTTCCTAACTAACATCGTAAGAATTGTCTAGTGGACAGTAAGGAGAATGACTAATGAGCTCTTACAAATGGTAGAGTTGATCCAATGACCATTTTTACCAGATGCATTTCTACCCCAAGAACTCCAAACCACTATTTCAATTTGTTAACACTGATGATTGTGTGGAGCACAATAATTTAAATTATTATGTTTTTATTTTCTTGTTGCACTTTTTATCATCATTCTTCCATTTCCTTTACTTAAACTTCTTCCATTGTAATCTGCTCTGTTATTTCAGGTGTGTCTGAAGTGCTCAACATAGATGCATGAAGTCCAACAGTAAAGATTGATGCACCTAAAATACAAAAGTAAACCAGAGCTCTGTAAGTTAAGAGGCCAGGTTGTCAAAAGGGTTTTAATACATTGCATACACACCTATAATCCAAAACACTGTTGATCCTGCTGAAGCCAGAATGAAGAGGGGAAGACTGATCAACAACACAAGTCCATACTGTTCTGCTCTAGTTAGGTCACGACCTATGAAATCAAGACACGTCAAATCATCAATATATTGAGCTCTATCGTAGACATCAAGAACACTGACATCAGACTGGAACCCTCCAGACCCTACGGATCCTTGGGACCCTCCACTCTCTTCCTTTTGACAAGCCATTTATCAAACATTGAATAATTCTTACCCAACACTCTTATCTTCTGTCCTTGGTTTTTGTAAGATATGTAGAAACAGCCACCTCCAGCGACTGATAATGCTATGAGCAGCAATGGTGATGACAGGCTAAGGAAATAAGATAAGAAAACACCCTACCTATTCAGAACATTATTACAAGATAATTCAACAATATGTCATAGAGTTTCCTTATTTTCTACTTAAAAAAATTATCCCTAAGGAGGTAAGAGACAAAGTTGGTACATCACATCTCACATAAAAAGCTCTGAGTTTGGGCCCTCTTCAAGCCATTGTATTGTGTTCTTAGGTAAGTACCACTGAGAAAACTGCACATCAGCTGGGTGCTTCCCTCTCAAAATGTTGGTTTAATATATACTGATTATGAGATCTTGCAAGAACTACAGCTCTGTAGGCATGGATATTGAGACATGCATGGAAAAATGTGCTACAGCGTTGCTTTTTCACGTTTACGTCATTGAGCAATAATGTTGAGGCAATGTTGAAAAAGAAACTCTCTAATTCCTATTCTTTAGAAGAGAAAATAGTTCATAAACCGGTCATATGGCATAACCAAGAGCTCAAAATGCGAGCTTCGAGAAAGAAAGTCTGGTTGTTTACAAAAAAACAAAAAAGTGGCTACTAATCTCTTTTAAATATTTTTTGTAATTCACCTTGAATCATTAAAATACTTAAAGATCGCGACCGATTCCGTTCAAGCGGAGTACAACCGAGTGTCGTGCTATCCATCTTTCACAACAAACGTTTAGTTGATCTTTACAGAACTGGGCTTTTACAGCTTCAAATTCTTTACTCTTCAAAGAGGTGTTTTAGGGTAGAAGAACCAACAAAACGAATTCGTAAGGTGTTCTTGGATTCATGGACTGAGTTAAGACAGTTAGGAGAGCGCGATTGCAAAGATTACGTATGTAATATCTACAAAGACTCTTTCTCTTTTTAAACTACATAACTGAAAGGCAACAAGATCACTTACACACAGTAAAAAATCAAAAGAAGCGTTATAACGATGTAGTTGCTCTGGTAGTCCTCCAAGTTCTTCACGACTCTTCTTCCAGCTTCGGCGACTGTCTTTGGCCTGCTAAAGCGCGAACTCTTAAAAAAATCTGTCCATGGTTTCATCTGAGCTTTTCGCTGCCAAAGCCATTCTTTAGCTTGTTGGACGTGAGAAGATGGGGTTATAGCGGCCGCCATTTCAATATTCCCAGTAATTTCCTCTGTAGCCATAGTTTGTTTGGCAATTTTCGACTACGTCATCACATTCACTACAAACGAAGGGGACCAATCCTAGCCTTAGGGAGGGGTACCACGGGAATATTCTAGAAAGGGCCGTTGATGAGTTGGGGGATAGCGTCCGGTTGGAAGGCCCGAGAAGGAACGAGCCTTTCCCTCTTTTTTAAGGGGGGGAAGAGGGGGAATTGTTGTATAAAGAGCCTGGTAAAAGAGTAGGGTTGGCATGATTTTCACACGCCCAAAAGTAAGAGAATTAGGTTCTTACAGGGGTGACCTTCCCATGTGAATGTAAAAGTCTTATGACACATCTACTTGTCGTCTGAAACGCGTATTAGTCTCAGAAATCAATTCAAGATTCTTGACTGTTTTCTTCCTTAATTGAAAGACAGCCTAACAAATTTCCTGAATTAAACTAGAAGGTGGGTTAGGAAGACAGGTTTTTTAGCATAGGTTGTTCAATCATTGAATCAGTTGGGATGACAATAATATACACACTGCCTGTAATTTTGGCCAAGGATTAGTCATTCTGCAGTTTTAGCTTTATTAAAGGTGTGTCAGTGCTGTGTCTTTGTATATACTTCATAATAAGCTTCATAAAAGCTTTAGGTTTCCCCTACAGACACTGTTTACATCAACTCTCTGAGTCTAAATTTAAAGTCACTCATTGAAAGGTTTTAGTCTACACTTTTGTTAAATTGCTTTGCATCCATTTACAATCATTTTTACAAATGTTTCAAAGCAGTCAGGATTAAACTCTTCTAAAACTATTTCATGCTTTGCTGGATCTTTGAGTGTCACTGGACGTCGGAATCTTTTCCTTTCCTTCACAGTTTTTTCTGCAACTGGTTTTTCCAAATCTTCAAACATGGCCTTTTTGTACATGAAAACCCCTGGACTAATCCAAGCCATGTTTTTGATGCCTTCATCGCCATGAAAACTTAAGGTGTTCAGCTGGTAGTTTATAAATGAGAGTCGAATTCCATCAGTGATGATGCACTGGCTGGATAGGGGCTTTTCCAAATCATCTCCCAGCTGATATTTGTAACTCTGTACTGCTTCTGCCACAAGCCGAGCACAGACAAACATGATACCTGAAAGCAAATTAAAGGGAAAAAAGAAAAAAATCTTTATCAGTGCAAAATAGTGTAGAATATGTTGCAGTTTAAAACAATTTCAGATGAAAACAAGTTCAAACTTTGATTTGTATTTTCTCTGAGTTTTTATTCTAATTTTTACCACTAATGGTACCAGGGGCATTGCCAGGATTTTTCGAAGGGGGGTTGCACTCTGTCAAAAACAGGGTACCCACTAGATTGTCATGTCCACCTCCATGCCATGTTTTACTTTAAAAAAGGGCTAATAAAGGGAGGGAGGGTCATGGGCACCCCAGAACCCCCTTCAGCCATGTCCTTGGGTACTATTCTGGGGTCATTACAAGCTTCTTCCTAGGTTCTTCTTCATCTCCAATATTTTGCAAATATCCAGGGTCAATTCCACTGCTTATTCAAACCAAAGTCTTAGTAGGAGAAAAGGCTCTTTTCCTTAATAATAGGATGCCAGTCCATCTCAAGGTTACACCCCAGCATTTCATGAGGCTTCCCTGACAGTTTTCCAGTACATATTTATATTCCTGGGTGGACAAAGGCACTGCAAAAGTAAAGTGTTTTTCCTAAGAACACCACAAAATGACATCACCAGGTCTCAAACCAAGACCTCTTAACCCTGAGTCCAGTGCACAGAGCCACCGCATCTCCCACTTCCCAAATAATGGCTGCTTACAAAACCTAACAACTTTCCAAGTCAGCTACATGAATTGTATAACCTTACCTTGACCAATTAATTGACCTGTTGAGCATTTTGTATCTTCGCTGACTATGATGAAGGTATGAGGATAAGGAAATGGCGGAGAACTGTGAAAGCCAGTGTCAAACTTTGGTCTGATTCGTGTTAGGGGAAAGTGAAATACAGGAGAAATTATCTCAGGGTTTTCCACCTGGATTTCTTTGCTTTTTTCTATCTCATTCCTGTCAGCTACTTGTTTGAGAGGAATTTTAGAGGACAACAAAAAGCCAAGATGTCCAGACACCAGTATTGTGTGTTCCCTTTCCCAATTTGCAGACACATGAGGCTTGAAAGTCAGAGAGGTATCCAACAGTCCTGGGAAGCTAAAACATAAAAATGTACTAGCTATGTAAAAAAAGACTTACACTTACATTTTAGGGTTTTATTTGTGAAATTAGAATAATTCTACTTAACCCTTTAACTCCCAAGATCCAATTGTTAATTCTTCCCTGTGGCTGCTACACATTTCCTTGTAAATTAGTTATGAGAACTTGGTGCTAGATTAAGATAGCAGCTTCTACCTGATAAGTTTGAATGTTCTCATTACCTGTTTGCTGAAGAATGTATGGATATTGTAGGGAGAAGTTTTATGTTAATCACTTCTGGGAGTTAAAGGGTTAATATTCTAATAAAGTATCAATGTTATGAGATGAACCAACTAAAGGAATAATATATAAGGTTCTCCTAAATTTCGATTAAATTTCAAAAATTAAAAGTCACTCTGATAAGTCAAGAAGTCTTCTTTAACAAGTTTAAGAATTCAACACTACATGATGCCGGTTTTTTTTGCATATCTATTCTTCATGAGCATCCAAAGTGGATGAAGTTAAAATAAAAATTAAAAAAAAGAACAAATACTAAGATACATTATTAAAACAAAAATATAAAAATATCAGTGAACCACTCTTGACTCCTATTTGCGACAAATGTTACAGCTGACCCTCCCCCCATCAGTAAACATTTCCCCACCAAGGGTAAGTCAGTAGGAACACTGCATGATCAAAGGGGTTCCAGATTATTTCACTTTGCAAAAAAATACATAGACCCTTTTACGTCAATTCTGTCTCGACAAAACTCAAAATTTAAAGGGAAAAAATGTTAAAGGAGCTTTCCATATAAGTAAGCTGCATTTCTCACCATTTAGCATAACTCCACACAACCCTGAGCATATTTTGCATCAGGGGCATAGCAGCCATATCCCTTGTTGCATGCTCTCCATCAAAGTTGAACAACCTTGTCTGAAGAATATTTTGTTTAAATTTTCCCATCATTTCTTCTCGAGTGACAGAGTCAATGAATGTGTCGTGCAAGCAACTAGAAATGTCCCCCATGTTTAAGGTCTTTGTTAAAGAAAGTGTCTGGGCTTCTGGTTCCAGAGGACGTACCATTGGATGGTAAAGATATTGCTCGTCCGTTACTGGATGACAGTAGTTTCTTGTATACAATTTAGACGGTAGAAAACGAGAAAGTTTTCCATACGCTGATCGAATACCTTTCGTTGCCATCTTGGAACTTCTACACGTGTGGGAAGCTGGGCTCTAATCGCCCCATGGCTCTAGCGGTTGTTTTGTAATTGTCGTTGTCTTGGAAACAAGCAATATTTCTTTACGGCCACAGCTATCAACTCGCCATTTTGATTTCACATCCCCGCAAACACATAATAATCTTTAAAAAAAGCTTTTGTGAGAATGGTAAGTAGAGAATTTCATAGATATATTAACTCAAGTTTCACCTTCCTAGTAGGAAGGAATTTTTCAACTGATTATGCGAGTGAATAATGAAATTTGCGAGGCGTCCTTCTAATCGATTTTCTCACAGCCAAACAGCACTGTTGGGTCGTTGGAGTCTGGCGGATCGAATGCATCCAGAAAATCATGGACGAGACAGTATCACACAATCAACAAAACTTCTACAGTGGTAAGTTTTTGAGTAGATTGTTGTAATGAAGTTCAAAGTGTAGCTGGATCTTTCTTAATTTTGAAATATACTACCACTCGCGCATATATGTGTGTATCGCTACATTTGAGGTTGCACACAGCTGTATCTTAGCAAAGGGCAAAACCTTTTGAGATTCAGCGAATTTTCTCGGCAATCAAAAGTTACATCTACCAAAATCTGTAAAATTGGTGTTTAATTGTCTTATCAGCCGTTAGAAATAGGTCGAACGCTCGAAAACTTGAGGGAATTTGAAGACTGAGTAAAAGATCTAACAGCAAATTATAATGCTTAGGCTAACTAAACTGGTCTTGAGCCATTTGCTTTGCCAGTGATCTGTATAAATGGGGACGATCAGGTGATTAATTGTCTGAGATTGAAGAATGAGCTGATTCACAACTGTTAACCCTTGACATCAATGCGTTGTAGCATTGAAAACATCAAGGGCAACTTCATTCCAGCATAGTTAGCCTATTCCTTCACCAAGTTCTCTTTAGATTAGTGGTAGAGGATAGAGGTGTACAATCTGAAGGTCTTGATTTATTTTTCCAGCAGAACTCAGATTTTTTTTCACACTTGAAACAAAGGAAATAACATTTTTCTTAACCTCACACTTGTTATGTTAGTGAGTAAACTGCACCGTCATGTCTAGTGCTTACCATCCTTACAAATCATTTTTTGTTGGCAGGATGAAACACTGTTTGCCTCTCCAAAGAAAGTAAGGCCTGGTGAAGAGGATGCTTTTGCTGCTGCTTTATCAGAGAGATCTCGAAGGCGAAGCAGTCCAGGTGGCAAAAAATCACCAGCTAAATCTGAAGAGCCAGAAATGATTCAAGTTATTACAAAGGACCTGATCAGAAGACTCAGGTTGGTTTCAGTTTTAGTTAGTTGTGTGATTTATATCTGAACCTTTAAATAACTTATTCAAATTCATACTACTCTATCTTGACAAATAATTTATGAGTTAATGAACAATTGAAGTAAATTATTAACCTTTCTTGATATTTTGTACAGGGTTCCTCAAGAAGATCCCTCTGGAAGAAGTATTATATTAGAAGTTGGAGAGTTTAGAAGAATTAAGGTGACTTTGTAGTATAGATAAACACAAAACATAAAACCTTGTTAAATTGTATGTCATGCCTAGTTGCATAGGTAATTCTGTTGCCAAGATCACTGGCACAAATTAAACTGACCAAATTGAGTATAGGAAATAAACAATGAATTTCAACTAAATTCTTTGTAGTTAGTTAGTGCAGGGCTTGAAAGTAGTGAAGATTTGCAAGTTTTGATTGATACTCTATGTTTTTTTTTCTTGTAGTCAAATTGGTCAAATTTGGCTAAGTTATTCTAATACCATAAGTCTCTCTGTAATAGGTTTTTGAAAATACAAAATTATACCTTTAGTTTATGTGTCTGTGAATGCAGACAAATGAACTTCTTGTTTAGAATCTTTGAGGGCAAGTGCTTCAGGGTACTAGATTGTAAATCTGGACCCAGTTATTCAAGGCCGATTAATGCATTTCCAAGTGATAAATTTTAATCCAGTTCTCTTTAGTTCTTTGTTCAAAAAGCCTTTTTGAGATAAGTTTGCCTTTTCTTTTGAGATGATCCAATAATAAGATTGTAGACAAAAAGATTTATACTGAATTTTCTTTAAAAGCTTTCAGATCTGAAATGAGATTTCACACCAACCCTAGGTTATCTTAAACCAGCTTTGAAGAACCTGGCCTTAGAGCTCCCAGGTTCAAACCCTCGATTCTGTCTCCCAACTAGATTTGTTACTTAGTAGTCAGGAATTCACTTCTTCCACTGCACTTTGTAGATAGCCATAAATTTGTTTTTACCTTCCACATGTTGGATTTTAATATGAACAGAGGTACTGAATAAATCAACCCTTAAAATAATATTTTTTGTAATTTTTTGCTGCAATTGCAGTCTGCATCCCATGTTCCAACACAAGCAGAAAAGGAAGCTGCCATGGAGGAAATGAAAACAAGAAAAGAAGCTCTTCAAAATGCATCAGAAGAACGTAAGAACTTTATGCAGACCATGGAGCTGAAACGAAAGGAGAATGCCAAACCATCAGACCTTGAACAGGTAAAGTGACTGTTATGTATAGAGTGAAAACCTTTTAATAATTTAGTGAGGTAGTTTGTTGGTCATGCAAGTTCACCCCTTCATAAACTGCAGGCCTATTTATTTTCCCTTTCTGTATGTGGAAATAGCTTTGTTACCGGTAACACTTGGGAAAAAAAACAGTAGAATTTACTTTAATAAGTGACTTATTGGTAAGAGAGCTTTTTTATATGGGCATAAAAAAATTATCAGTAAGCCCCTCACCCTCCCTTCCTCCCCCCCTCCATCCCCCCTTCATGACAGAAGTCTTTAGTGGCTAAATTTTTGTGTTTCTGTTTTATATGATGTTTCAGGAGAAGATGATACAGAGTGGAACTTTACTAGATAAAGCTAATGAACTAATGGAGGAACAAGATGATGAAATTAAGAAGTTGAATGAGGTATGTTTAATTAATCCAGGTATCATAATGAAATGTCTTATTGACCAAGCCTAAGGTCAAGATGGATGGAGAACAATAATGAAGGTCCATAAGCATACCAACATAGAAAAATGAGCTCAGTATCCAGGCACCTTGAGCAAACAAATAGTTGGTAAGGGACAAAATCCATGGTGAGAAGATTTTGCCTCAGAACTACTTTTTATTGGAAACAAAGAGGGCAATCATGAGGGGGCAAGGCAGGCCCAACTTGCCTGCCCAACTAGCCAATCAGATCACAGGATTTGCCTTGTCTTGCCTTAATTTTCTGAGCAAGTGTTATTTATTGAATTCTTCTATGATGTAAGTTCTGTACTGTGTGATTTTACACTTGACTCATTATCTCTGAGACATCAATAAAAAGTAAATCAACTGCCAACCAGTGGCAAGGTTATCAATATTTTTTTCAGTCTTAGCCCACTGGTGAAGCAGAGTGACCAATCAATCTAACCCTTAAATTTAAATTTTTACAACAGCTCATCTTGAATGCCAAATGCCATGCAATCCGTGATGCCCAACTCATTGAAAAGGTTGACATCAAGAAAGAACAGCTTGAAGAAGAGAAACGCCTTGATGAAATGATGGAGGTGGAAAGACGTAAAGCACTCAAAGAGTATGAGGAGAGGGAGAAGGCTGCTCATTTTGAAAGACTGAAGGGTGCACAAGTGTTGCAACATCAGATTACAGACAGAGAACAGATAAGGCTGTTGGATGAGGAGAAAAAGGATCAGGAAACTAAGGTTATTATAAATATTTTTTACCATCAGTTTTTCAGGCTCCTCGGAGGCAGTTTGAAGTTGACTTTTATTTGAGAATTTATGAAAATAAACAAAATATGTCCGAAAATTCTGCTTGTTTTAAATGTTTTAAAGAAATGTAAATTCTTTTACATTAATTTTGTTTCTTTCAATTTTTTTTTCATTTTTGAAGCAATGTTAAAGCTGCTTTTGCAAGTTTATCAATCAAAATATGTGTTTTAAACATCCATAACTTTTGTTTTTGAATCGACCAAATTCAAGTTCACATGGTTCCCATAGAGCCTGGTCACCTGCACATATCCCTAAAGCTGTTGGAAAGGTGTTCTTGTTTCCCTAATAAAATACTCTACACAGGGAAACAGTGTAAAAGTATCTTCTATTTTGTTCCACTGTAAGGTTTTTCTTATTTTAAGATTAATGCCTGTTTTCCTTCTCCTGTTGTTTCTTTTGTTTATGTAGCCAACCATGTATGAAATTCAGTCTGATATATGTTAAAAAAAATGTTTCTCTTTCAGGCTATGTTGCAATATTTGGATAAACTACAAGCAGAAGATTTGGAGAACCTGATTAAAAAGAAAGAAATTCAACGAGCGTTGATGAAAGAAGTAGCCAAAGCAAATGAGGTAACTGAACCTCATCCATTAGGATACACCTCTCATCCACCCCCAGGGGGCTCAGATAGGATTTTCTGGTAGATGGGGGACTGAAACTAGCAACTAAACCCTTTCATTCCATCAATCAAATTCTTCTTACTGTTGGACATACAATTCTTATGATGTTAGTTCGGAGAATTTGGTATTGGATGAGCTGAAAATCCCCCTAGTCGATATTTTTCTTTATTCACGTCTGCTTGATATTGCACTTAAATTGTGTAGAGAAATTCTGTCATGATCACTCTTGGCAGTGAAAGGGTGAATGGCACGTGGATGCAGACAAGGGTTTTTTTTTTCCATCACAAAATATCACGTTTCCTCAAGAAAAGGAAGAAGGTCGTCCACATTCATGGAATCCCACCTAGCTGCACCCGTGAAACTTTAGCGTCCACTGACTTCTTCAGTGTACTTCGAATAACTTTAAGGTAAAGTTTAATCAGTTCGAAAAACGCAACTGATAGAATTTTTTTATTCAGGAAATCGCTCAGCAGAAGGACCGCAAGGCGGCGCAAGACAAGCTCGAGGAAATTAAAGTCATGGAATATCTGAAACAGAAAGCGGTTAGTGAACAAGCTCGGTCGCATGATATTCTTGTTGACATTTTTACTTTCCTCGCGTTTTTCTTTAATTCACATTTTTACTTTTTATGCAGGAAAGAGAGGAGGCCTACCAGCGTGAATTAGAAATGGCTAGAGTTGAAAAAGAGAAAGAAATTGCTCGTCTACGTGCACAGCAGGAGAGAGCCAAAGACAAACAAGCTGAGAAGGTATTGTTTCAAGATAGCCTTACTTTGTTATTGTTTCAAGTTGCCCTATAAGTGTTGTATAGTGGAGCTTAAAGTGCCGCAGCATTATACGCGCTTGATGCGCGCGCAATTTCCGTGCACTTAACGCGCAAAACACGCACACTGCGCGTCACTACACTCACCTGTGTGAAATAAAGTATGCACGTTCATGTAAATCAGTTAATTAGAACTCATGTATTTGGCGGTGTTTTACCAGCAGTCGCAAACAAGTTTGAGGTTTTGCTACGCTTTCAAATGTCAAACCTGTCTTAAATAAAAGAAACATCTACTTTTGTAGGATGCTCTTAGAGCCAAGCGAAATCAGGAAGAAGCAGAACGGGAATGGAGAAGAAAAGAAAAAGAAGAAGCTGAGAAAAAGTGAGTGAAGAGAACTAGCCAGTTGATTGTCATAAATAATCCGGGATTTCCCTCATTTAGCTGTAATTCCCCCTCTGGACCTCAGTGATTGGTCTTGGAAAATTACGCCACCTTCTTTTAACCAATCAGATGCAAAACGGAAAACCAATCACGACTTGATCGATTTTCTGTGGCTGATCCTGGTCAGGGTACTGGGGGTCCGTACTTCCTGCCCTTTATGCAACTGGGCCCTAGCGTTTAACAAATCTGTGTTGTTGCTGTTATTTTTAAATAAAAAACTCCTTGATCTGCCACTGCTTGTGTTTTACTTACCGCGCATGAGACAGCTTTCTTTTGACTCAGATCGAGATCTCGTCAGCTCCCTGGTTTGTTTTCCTTCGTTCTGATTAGCTACTGTAATCTGTTTAGTTTGGGCCTCATGACGCTCAGTCGTTTGCAGATCAGAATCTGAAATTTTCTTGTTTCTCGTTACATTTTCTACAACTTTTTCACGCTATATTTTATTTATTTACAGAAAGCAAACTGAGGAAATGTTACGTGCCGCTCGTGAAGTGCAAGTGAGGAATAAAGAACATTTCTTAGCCGTGCAAGCTGCCAGAGACAGGGCTGAGTTTGAGAGGGTGTTAAAGTAAGTCATATTTACTTTTAGTTCTTTAGTTCAAGTATTCCTCGCTCTTCGAAGCCGGTGGCGGATTTCGTTCAATTTTCTCGCCTTTAGTGTTGGTTTACGTCATTTAAGTTGAAACGAGTTTGCGAGCCTGCGCGAAATTTTTTTCCTAAAGTACAGTGGTGGTCTCATCCTTGCAGTTTCCCTGTAATTAAAACGTAACTATCAATATCTGTAGGGTGCAAGAGGAACAACTGCTAAAAGACGAAGAAGCTGAAAAAGTAGATGCAGTCCGCCGCCATCAGCATGCGGAAGAAGTGCGTCAACAGGTCCGCGAGAAAGAGAAAGATCGCGTCAAGGCCAGGAACGCTTTCTTTGAGGAAGGAATCAAATTGGACCAAGAAGCTCGAGCAAGGTAGGTTTATATTAATTCAAGACCATTCGAAATAATTTCTCGAGAATAAGACTAAGCGGTAGTTAACGTGTATTAATACTGCAAGATGTTAAACCAATCAGACTGAGACTGACAATATTTTGACCAAATAAAAAACACGGAATTTTGGGAAGCGATTTCTTTCCTTGTAAATTAGATGGGTCGTAACCACTTTTTGAAAACAATGGCACGAAGCCTGCTCAATTTTTCGCCATGGTTACTAACATTATATTAACTAATGTATATTTCCAGGCGGCAGAAGTTGGACGAAATAAAAAGAAGAAAGTTGCAGGAGCTGAAAGATGCTGGTGTGCCTGACAAGTATTGCAACGAGGTCGCGCGCAGGATCGAGGCTCCACCTCCTTCGCTATCCCGGATGTACTAAGCCTGCGACTGAACTTTTTCCCTTAAAAACTTTATTTCTTGTCTCTTGAATTTAAAGAAAATTAAACGATGGTCTCGACATTAACATTATAAATGCAAAGGCTTTCTCGTTTTGAGGTTTAAATTGAGATTGTGGATATTAGTCTGATCGGGAAATGTCTTTTGTCACAGCGAATAAATTTCTTCTTGATCATTTTGTTCTTACAGTGTAAATATATTCATTACATTTTACCATGTGTATAAAGATTATTCTATCAAACAATTAAAATAGTGGGCGTGGTGAAACATGTTTCTTTACTAATAATTAACTGCATTTTACCAGTTTTAAAACAAAATGAGTTAAACACCTTGGATAGAAGTGTAGCTAGCGTCTTTGTTACAGAAAAAAATTAAACACGTTTGTTTTCATTACCTTTTCTGGTGATTTCGTGAGAGGATTTTCATTCCCCGGTTTGTGCAGAATCTTGAATTCTGAGAGGTCTGAAATTGTGTTTGTTTTTGTCTTTTTCCTCTGTTTGTGCCCAACAAGTATTTAACCTTTCAATTAACTCCAAAGGTCTGATTGTTAATTTTCTCCTCTAGACATTTCTTAGCTAATTAGTTCCAAGAATTTGGTGTTAGATCAAGATAACTTCTACCTGATAAGTTTGTGTATTCTCATTACCTGTTTGCTGGATAATGTATGGATATTATAGGGAGAAGTTAATCCTCGGGATGAGAAAATATCGGCACGCTAGGCAGTATAGATAAAAAATTACTTCGAGTAATGGAAATTTATACAAGTCTTACTTTAAATGGCTTAGAATTATATGGTAATTTAGTATTATTAACTGAGTTGATAACGTATTAGCTACTGTAAAGAGCTGACGTTTCGAGCGCTAGCTTTTAAACTGTTTACGGTGGCTAATTTACATTATCAATTCAGTTGATAACACTTAATTACCTTGTTATGCTCTCCCACCGACGCAGAATTACAGTTTCTTTACAAACTTGGCCCCTTTGCTCAGAATTATAGCTTTACAGAGGTGTGCGACCAGTCAGAACCGATCATACGATCAAACACTAACGCGAATTCCTTCAAAAGCTTACACCCAGTTTCTCTCCTCTTCTAGCCCCTAAATTAGGGCAACAAGGTTGCTGTTTCCATCGAGGTTAGTTTTTCACTCTCGTGGTTTTTTCAGGTCTAGAACAAGAATCCTTCCTCCTTTCCAATCTTTATTTGTTTCTATTCAGTCAGATTGTTGGCTCATCAATGACGAAGATGCCTCAATGTCTCCTTCCTCCACAGGAAGCGCCACGTCGCAGATTGTTTGAAGTTTGTAAGTTACACGATCTGAAGAGGAGAATGAAGAAACGCGTAGATCAAAGAATTGTTGAGACTGGAGACCTCTTGTTAGTCTTTCCTAGAGATATTTCCAATTGATGTTCGAAAATGATCGCCACCCAATAGGCAGTTAATATTGGCGGTCAATTTTCCATAGTACCCCTCATTAAACTCTATTGGCGACTACTAATTCCCTCTCCGTTCGCTCTGGAAACCATGCGACCCCCCAAAAATTCTCCACAACCCCCCCCCCCCCCCCCCCAGCAATTAATAATGAACGGTCCCCAACGACGCTTTGTGATAGGTCTAGAAAACTCGCTGCGCACTCTCAGCCAAGTATGACAGATCGCAATTTGGTTACACAAGATTTTGAGTTGAACAGTTTACACATCGTAGCTAGCGGTTTGCAGAGCAACCGTAAACCTAAGGCACGCATCCTACATCCTCTCAAAGGGTCATAAGTTTATCATCAAATTAACATGTGTAGCATAGTATCAGTGAGAAAGCAAGAATCTGCAAGAAAAACACGCGGGAAAGAGCACTGAGACACCCGCGCGTGACTTCTCAATCCAACTCAACTCCTCGCGTCTGGTTTAATGGAGTGCCTGCAACGAACGCAATATGCCACAAACTTTTTAGCGTTTCCCTTTAAAGGCAATCAAGAATCGAGTTTATTGTCTAAATCAGTATCGTCATTTGCCGTACAACCTCTCAAAAGGGGCAAGAGCACTCAGAAATTGCGTATCGAGTTGGATTGTAGGAAATCTGATAGGCCGATCGTGTGGAAAAGATTCATCAATTTTTAAAAGATTTATAAACACTTACTAAAAAAGAGAAGGAAACACCGTGGAACCACTTCATATCGAACAAACGCCAAGTAAAATGGAATTGCAGCTAAAACGAACAGCACGCAATAAAATGATTGTAGTGGGGTCTCATAAAAGGGCGCAATTACCAGGTACAATGAAACCACAACCATGAATATGGGAATTCCAAACCATACCTGCAAGGAAATAAGGAGAAAGCTATATATTTGATTATACAACCAAGTTAAACGCCAGCGACAAACGTTTAGCTGGTGATAATCGAACAGCCAATCAGCGGAAAGGAAAATTAAATGAGGAGCCAATAAGAACGCATAGTGAAAAAAAAAAGAATATTTCATGAAGCGCGGGAAAAAACTTGGGAACAAGCCGCGGTTGATTTTTGTTTTAAACCCTATTGGTTAAGAGGATGGCGCGGGTTTCCCAGACCAATCACGTGGCAAAGTTAAGCAAATCAAAGTAATGTCGGATTACTTCCAGTAATCAATTGAAAACTTCACTGTCACATAGCTGTGAAATGTTATGTTCAACCACAGAATACGAATGAAGGCGAAAATGGAGGCAACGCTTGGTCACCAAACTAAGAATGCAGTCATTGACAGCTGGTATGACCTTATCAATTTACTTTATTACGCTTTGTGATTGGCTTAGAAACCTCGTTCTTCCCTCAGATTCAAAACTAAAACCAAACACGACTTGGTGACCCCCGTTTTCCTGCGCGTTGACCAGGTTGATTGTTCTTACTCTGAGTTCATAAGTTCCTTGTGATAATTATCTTTGATGAAATTGATCTTATTTATTATTTTCCGACATATACACTCAATTAAAATATGCCCTAAGTAGGCCTCACCAGCATGACATGGGTTTCTTTTTTCTTATCTTGATAACAGTTTTGTAAATTTAAAAAAAAATTGAATAAAACATTTTAGAAGTGGCTTTCTTTGCGATTCACAATTTAGAGGTTTCAAAAGACGCTCCCCTAAAACAAGCACCTCAAAGAATTGTCGACTCATTAAGATGAAGAGGATGCTTTCGCATATTCATTCGGAATAACGTAAATGAGACTAAAAGTCTTTTCAAATAAATCAAATGAACGTTGTAATGTCCACCTTGAATGGTCGCCTGACCTCAGGTTCTTTGTACCTCAGCCAAATGATACTTGAGATAGAAAGTAAATAGCCGAACCAGTTGAAGAATCCCATATAGCTTAGAAGCACCTCAAAAGACGAAGAGTCAGGAATAATCATCACAAACGAAATGATACTCTAAAAAGAAAAACAAAAACAAAAAAAGACAATAAAACGAAGGAAAAAACTTCGACAAGTTTCGACACTGCCTGGTCAACTTGTCAGTTCTTTTTTGGAATGTCACTCGCCCTTAGAAAAACTTGGGGCATCTTAAAGGAAAGCTTGGAGGGGAAAAGACACTAGCCGACTTTGAATGCAATATTACTTCGTTTAAAATCGGAATTGAAATCCAAAATCCAAAATCGGCCATTAGTGTCTAAAATCCAAAATTGGCCACTAGGGTCCAAAATATTTTATCGGCCACTAGCGTCCAAAATACAAAATTGGCCACTAGGGTCCAAAATACTAAATCGGCCATTAGTGTCCAAAATACAAAATCGGCCACTAGGGTCCAAAATTCAAAAACAGCCATAAGGGTCCAAAATACAAAAGCTTCAAATAGGATCTAAAATACAAAATTGGCCACTAGGATCTAAGATACAAAATCAAGCATTAGTGTCCAAAATCAAAAATCGGCCTCTAGTGTCCAAAATCCAAAATTGGCCACTGGGGTTTAAAATACAAAATCGGCCACAAGGGTCCAAATCCAAAATCAGCCATTAGTGCGCAAAATCCAAAATTGACCACAAGGGTCCAAAATACATAACCGGCCGCTAAGGTCTTATTAAATACAAAATCGGCCACTAGTGTCCCAAACCCAAAAAAGGCCGCTAGGGTCCAAATCCAAAATCGGCCACTGGTGTTCAAAATGTAAAATCAGCCGCTAAGGTCCAAAATAACTTGTGTACGCTTTTAAGCGTTTTGCTGCAGAGAAGCAATAATGAGCAGCGAGGCCGCCAGAGGCTTGGGAAGTCATTGAAAAACGCCAGACACGTGTCGTTGGCCGAGTGTAAAATGTCGCACAGGGAGATTTTTAACTTTTCGTTGCGGTACCATTTTCGCCAAAGTTTATTGAAGTTGTTTCTTGTGTTAAGCAGTACTGTTGCACAACCTCAGGTTGGATAGCCTGTGAGAAAGTTCTCGTTCGCGTCGCTTTAAGAGCATCTCGTGGGCTTCTCACGAGATCATTGTAATTAGGCTATTCAACTTTTGCATGAAAGTCTCGCAGTAAAGCCTAGACGAGGTGGTCTCCGTCTAGTTTCTTACTTACCGTCGAGATATGTCGAAGGAAGGCTATTAAGCGTAACTTGAAGTGCGATTTAACATAATGCATATTATATCTCAGAGAGCAAGGCTATCATAATTAATTCCAGATTTGATCAGTTTGAAATTAATTCAAACCTGATGCGCATTAATTGGCGTCATTTCAGGAATATGTACGCCATGAGCAGCACTCTTTTTCAGCAGGTCAGTCCATCGTGGGCTTCCAAAGAAATCAGAGAAAAAGATAACTTGGCAAAATGCGAATAGTAGAGGTGCTAAGCCCGGACGCTTCACACCGAGTGCTCATGTTCTTATATTTTTTCCGGTGATTCCTTGTGACTCACTAATAACAGAAAGTTGGGAAAGACGGGATAACAACAGTTTAATGACGATCGCAATTCCAAGAAAATAATAACTTACAGAGAATATGAGCCCCGGGAGAGGGGTTCTTCGCTTGGTATGAATCATGGCGAGAAAGCGAGGAAGATGACCTTCTCTTGCGGCAGCGAAAGCTAATCTGAAATTCAATATCATTCTGAAATCAATCGAAAGAGTTTGCAATCGGATGAAATCTTACAACCGTCGAAGTCGGCTGTAAGAGAGTGAGGGGGGAGGGGTAAAAGTAACGGCGTAAAGCAAGGGGTGGGGGTGAAAGGATAAGGGGCGAAGGGGAGAGGGGTATGAGGCCTGCTTGTTCGAATAATGTAAGATTTGATAGGGGTGGGGGTGGGGTGGGTGAGGAGCATCTAATCAGTGTATTCAATGAGTATATCTCAGCCGGTAGCAAACACGAGTGATATATGATGTAAGAATCTCCTCACCCCTCACAGACCCTTGTTTTAAACTCTGTTTCACAAAAAATTCAAGGCATCAAAGAGGCGCTCCTCTAATATTAACGAGAAAACTCCAATGAACAAGCATGAAATAATATCAACCTTTCCATACCTTCCTCCTGAAAAGGCACTGCCATTGGCGGAACCAAACGTGGAGCAAGAGACGAGTATTGGAATACTCCAAGCCATGACTCCATATAACCGGTTTGCTAGGGTCTGTCGAAATGGAAACAAGAAAAATACTCTATACTTAATCTTAATTGCAATTTTTAAAAGTGACCTTATCTTCTTATTCGTGCAAAGCCTGAGTTGTGTTAAGTGAGTTTCGCTTGGTGATGACCGATCTGACGACTGTGGTGGGGTAGACAAATGTCAAAATGTTGTTTTTTTAAAAGCTAGTCTTTGTAGGTCACGAAACAACGAGTTATTATCTCCGTGGTGAAGTCATAATGACAAGATTTTTGCCTCCGCGTTGATTATCCTTGAACACCGATATATCATAATTCTCGAAAAACATCCTTCATCTATGGTCCACAGACCTTGCATTGAGAGTCTTAAGAGAGTCTTAAGAGACCTTAAAGAAAGCGCCTGTTTTGGAGAACGCTATTTGATAAATGAGCGTTGGCTATTGGATTAGAAATAGGAATTCCCCTGAATAAAAGCTTTTTAAGGACCACACGAGTTGTGAAGGCGATCATCCAGACGATTACACGCGAGGAGAGAGTTACCTCTGTAATTTTCCGAGTATTTCTCCTCGCTCGCGCACACCACTTTGTACGCACTGACTCCCATTTATCTGAGGGACTGTAAGGTAGACTAAAGGGATTTCTATTGAATCGAATAGTATAGGCTGAATGATTGGCCAATGGCGACGATTCTCTGAGATGACGTGAGAGAGTTGAGCGTTTCCTATGTTCACATTGCGCAGAGTTTAAAGAGTGTGTGATGTTTTAACGGAACTAATCAAGCAAGGTACGGTCGCATTTGTTGTTACTGCATTTTGATCAGAAATTACCTTAAACTCTGGCAAGATGGTCCTAGAATCAATTTGTTAAATGTTGTCTAATGAACATGGTCTTAGTTTTACCGCTGGACCGTAAATCAAAGAGTTATTAGACGAGTTACTTACCACAGCAACCGCATCAGTAGTCAGAAATTCCTGTGGTGTAAGCACCGTAAGGTATCCAATAATCACCAACAGATAGCACACTATCACAAGAGGGATACCAATGAAAATGCTAAGCGGAAGGTTCCTATGAAAATACATGCAACAGAATATTCAAAACGATTGTAATGTTATCAACTGCCTGTCGTTTTCGTGTTTCTCACCTTTCAGGATTTTTTATTTCCTCTATGACATAATTCAGTTGGTTCCTAGGGAAGAGAATGTTAAGGTTGAGGTTAAGCCTATAAGAATCAAACGACACTCAGTATCGATTTCCCGTCATCGACTCACCATCCATTGTATGAAAATAGTCCATTGTAAAAGGCAAACGCAAATTTCCCTATCTCTGGACTAGTTCCGTTAAATGCGTTTTCAAAGGCATTTGTATAGCCTGCAAAGAAATGGAGCAAAATAATAATTGCGGAGTGAAGAAAACGCAATAAAAGGTTTGAATGTTTTTCTGAAAAGTTGGTGTTTTCCCTGTGTGCAGTGCCTGTATTAAAGGCAAACCATGTAATTCTGAGCCAGTTGAAACGCAATTTTGAAATTCCAATAAGAGGTCGGAGGTCGGAGGATTTTGGTTGCGTCACGATAAAATTTGCTAGATCCCCCCTGTAAATGCGTGACTTTAAATTTGCGTGACATTTGTGTTACAGTTGGCCTTTGTGCCATTTGATTCCTTCGGATAGTCTTTCTCTCCCGCTGATTTTTAGTTGTTGCATCGTACGCCCTTTCACTATTCACTGTTCATGTCCGGCGTTCATCCCAAGTTAATTTCTTAAGTTTGGTTTCAAGCCACCGGCGTATAGGGACTGATATGAAAGTTGTATTCGCTTTTTTTCACTTTGTAGCTTGCCCCATTTATGCAACGTAGTGTTTCTCTTGCTATGATCTTATGTCTTTGTGCGTGTTATTTAGTCACCGCCTTCGTATCGTCAGGAGGTTATTTCTAGTTATAATTTTCCTTTATCTCGCTTCGAGCAAGCTCTTTCGTCTTTATTTTGTATATATATTTTGTGTTTGCCGTGGCACTTGGTTCATTTATTAGTTCCTTTATTATGTTAGATTCATTTACGCTGGTTAAGTCGCCACGTGTTTAATTGAATACAGTTGATTGTATAAGTCCCTTTTTTAATTCGCTTACAGTTTACGAGATTGATTAAAGCCATGTCTCTGTAACGTATCCCCTGGTTTGTTTGGTATTTTCTTCGGTCGCGATTTTCTTGGCTCTTCATTCGGTCTTGATGTTCGTTTGCCGCATACCCCCTATAAAGCGCTACAATATTCTTATGATACCCACTCATTGGCAGTTAATGACGTTAATTGGCAGTCAGTTTTCTATAGTCCCCTCCTTTATACTTTGTTGGCGACAGAGTATAAGGGGGGGGGGGACTTCGCTCCCCCCGAAAACCACGTAAACCATCTAAACCCCCCCCCCCCCAATGATAAACAATGGATGGTCCCCAAACTGCACTCTGGTTGACGATGATCACACTACCTCAACGAATCATAGAAAAAAAATTACCTTGTGTTAAGCGAACAATTCCTGTGAATACCAACATAAAAATGGCGATCATCTTGGCCGCAGTAAAGAAAATCTGTATTCGAACGGCCCATTTCAAGCTTACGCAGTTGACAAAGGTGATAACGCCTGAAGATTCGATGACAATGATGAAATTAGTTATATTCTTAAGTTGCCATTATTTGACAACAAATTGGCACCTTTGGTAGTCTGTCAGATGATCCACGGGACTTTTTGCGAGGATTTCCCAACCTCATTGTCTTAAAAGAAAATTTGATATAATTAATTGTTTTGATTTCCATCGTGTATATTTGTTCTCCTAGAAATTCTTTTATTTTTTTCAAAGCCTTATCATAAACCACATTTCAAAGCGTTTCATATGCAGCATATGGAAGGCGCACGAGGAGCGCGATGTCACGACTCGCAGTCCACGCTAATTCTCGCGAGTTGTTGCTTGTTTGGCGCTGTAATCTCGACAGCAAAACAATCACATCCTATTCCATATACGACTGAGTTATTGGACCGTTTGATTTCTAGAGGTGGTCAATTTTTTCACTTGTACTAGAAATTATCATTGTCTTAGAAAAAAGAAGCAAAGATAAAACAGGTTAAAAAAAATAGAAACGAGTTAATCAAGCGTATCTAGTGTCTACTGTTTTCAAATAGATGATAGACGATTCTCGGGGAAAGAAGGAAATGAGAAGCAATTTTCTAATGGGCAGAACTTTGAGTTACACAACACTCGGATCAAGTTCCTTGAATACATGTTCGAAATTTGAACCTTAGGAACTGATATATTACCATAACAATCTTGAGGAAATTATATTATTGAACGAGAGTACGACAATATAAAACTGATTTACGTTTCTCATCTGAACCTACCTAATGCTGCAGCTGCTAGTAACTTAATAAGCGGAACATACTCTTCACGACTTCTACATCCCGGTAGAAACGCCTCGACAGTGTAGGCTCCAAATACTAATAGGACCATAATCTGACTAGCCGGGTTCATAAACAACACGGACATCCACGCGTACAGGAAAGCTGGAAGAGGACCATACGCTTTCAGCAGATACTGGTACTCACCACCTGATTTTGGAATCAAAGTTCCCAATTCGCAGTAGCACAGTGCTCCAAGTAGAGAAATCACCCCACAGAAAGCCCACATCACCAAGGACATGCCAACTGAACCGACGTAAAACAGCACCCATTTCGGTGTCGCGAAGATGCCGGAGCCGATTATCGTGCCGATGAGAAAAGCAGTTCCACCTGGAATTCCCAAAGAACGTTTTAGAGAAATCGGATTTTCTTGTGGGATTTCTTCGTAGGGCTCGCTATCTTGGTCGTCATAGCCCGCAAGCAGGTTTTCAGCTGATTCGGATGACGCCATTTTCCACCACTCGATAACTTTTGATTCAAATTAGAGTTTATCTCGTGACCTCGGTACGGTAAACTTATGACTTGGATCACGCTCTTAAAGAACGGAAAAACACTTACTGTGCGCATTCGCTCTATTGTACTTTTTTCTGTTAAGAACTTGTCTGTACAGATTCAAAAAGTAAGTCTAGAAGTGGACGGAGGATTATCGAGTATAATGTATTCGAGGATAATGTCGAAATGCATTCCATTTTTTCTACAATCTGCCTGCGTTGCCTGTAAGTGTGTTTTATTTTCCGATGGCGTGCTCCAAACATGAATATTGAGACCTCTTTGCTACGGATGAAAGTAACCTGGTCACGCGACCCACGTTAGCGCGCGTGACCAGGTTACTTTCTTCGCGATCTGTTGTGAATACTTTACCGTGTTTCTTTCTGTGCTTGTAAGAGGAAACTTTAGTAAATATCGGGCAAATTGCAAGAAAAATTCCCAACTGATAGAGGCAGAACATTTGGCATTTCACAAGGCGCAGCAGAGGTGTTGAACTTTGGACAACCTAGAAACAAATCCGACGGTGTGATAGAGAATTTGAATCTGAGAACTCGAGACTTTCCATTATCCACTTGGCTACGTGCCTGCTGTCTTTATTATGTGTTTCTGTTTGGAATGTAACTTGCCAAAAAGGGTGAAATGTTTAAGGGGTTTCACATTGTTAATGCTGTTATCACATCTTTAAATTCAATACTAAGCGAGGTGAAGTAAATGGGCTTTTACTTGGGTTAGAAGAGCACAGAACACGTCATCACAATGTAAATGTGCTGCATACAAAATTAATCAGCTTAGAGTAACCTTGAAATGTGAAAATGTGTGATAAGCTTACTTGCACGTATCTTAACTTGGTAGTGTGGAAGTGTAGATGTGTGGAAGTGTAGAAGTTGGAAGTGTGGAAGTGCATGTGCAAATCTGGAAATATACAAACGAGTCGTTACCTTACTCACTTTTATCTTAACTCAGTAGTGTGGAAGTCTGAAGTCTGGAAGTCTGAAAGTGTGGAAGTGCAGAAGTGTTGAAGTGTGGAAATGTGGAAGTGTGGAAATGTGGAAGTGTGGAAGTGCGCAAATCTGGAAATATGCAAATGAGTCTTTACCTTACTCACATTTGTCTTGACTTGGTAATGTGGAAGTGTGGAAGTGTGGAAGTAAGGAAATCTGCAAATATGCAAATCTTGACTTGGAAGTGTAGAAGTAAGGAAAGTGTGGATTTTCCAAGTCATTACTCACAACTGTCTTTGGCCTGTTTGCTCTCCAAGTCTGTTGTGCATGGTATGTAGACATGTGTCTTAACAACAGTTATAGTCTTGCCTCAATAATCCTGGTTTTATCTTATTTTGTTACTGAGCTTCGGTGGTAATTTTTCTAACTGCATTTTTGGGCTTGAAGTGCTAACTAGAAGATAAACTTTGGTAGAGCTTATTTATCATGTGGTCCCCAAATCCTTCAACAATGTCAGTTCATTGTTTATTTATTTAGCTTTCAGTCTAACCAGTTCATCTACCTCAAAAAATGTGTGGGCTTTGTCTCATGAGTTTAAACTGGTGCCGTTTTCTTCATGTTCGTGTGTTATTCGAAATGAATGGTGTCAGTTTCATTCTGTCTTGTTTATTTCTGTAGAAAACTTCTGCCATGCAAAATGAATTTTGAGTCAGAGTGTACTAATGAAACTGGCAGATTAAAATTATCAAACTTTCTCTGGTTCTTAAGGTATGCAACAAGTGATGCAACAAATAGATAATTACTCAAGGGGCTGGAACTCCTTGTTTCTTTGGAATGTTAACTACAGTATTTCTGCTATATTTGAAAACAAATTTTAGGTTAAAATGTCTTCAAACCAGTTTGACTTGCATTTCACTTTGCCAGAAATGTCTTGATCCTTAAATGTTTATTTCTTAATAGAGACTGATGATAGGAATTAACTTTTATGTTCTCTGCTGTTTAGTGAGATGTGAAGTGACCCCCATTACATTTAGGTGGTACCATTGACAGAATGGATAGGTGTGACATATACTGTGGGAAGCTGGTATTCAGGAGATTGTCATAAGTACCAGAAGCTTACTAGTGGTTTCAATTATTGTTGTCCTCTTCATGCAACTTGCCTCAACTAGCTCATGCTATATACAACTAATTGTGTCTATACTTTATTTGCAACTGTAAAATTACCGATAACGTTTCTGAGTGATTAGGTGAAATTATGTCATGCTCCTAAAGAGTGTTTGAGCTTCCACAAAGAGAGCTATAAAATTTCTTAAGTGACTGATGTATTATTTGCCTGCCATAAAATTGGCACAGCAGAATCCCTTGCTAAAAAACTGTAAATTTCCTTAAACAGGCATCCAAGTCTGTGCCTAGTTATTTTTTGCTTAATGTGCAATGTCAATGTCACCTTTTGATCCATCTCATTTCTCTACAATCTGATAGGTGTAAATCATCCATTTTCATGAAGAGATCAATGAACCTCCCCACATTAGTTTAATCTGACCTCATTCAGTCTTGTTACCAGGGAGAGAAGGCTTTTGAAAATTTTTTTTTTTCATCGCTCAGCCCTACTGGTTCTTTGTTGTTGGGCTTGTAATAAGTCTTTTCAGACCATCAGATTGCCACATAACTTATAAAATAGGTTGAAAGATAAGGTTGCAAAGAGTGTATACGATTCTGTTGTGCAGTTGAAATGATAAATGAATATGGTTTTTATTTGGAAATAATTGATTTATTTAACTATTCATATTACAACTGGAAGCCCAAACTAGTACTTGTTTTAATTCACAATTCCCCCACATCAAGTTGATCATATCTGATGATATTTCTGAGACTGATGATTGAAAAGAGTTTTCCTTAAAGTAGCATTGAAGTAACATTGAAGGCACACTGTGATTGGCTACTTGAACTCTGGATATCCTTTGCCATTTACCTCTACACAACTGGAGCTGGATAAGCATTTGAAAATATTGTAATTATTACAGGAATAAATGACACAACTAATAAATAAATGAAACATGTTACTGGCATATTGAACAAAATATTAATAGGCTATAATAGTGTTATTTGAGTTTTTGTATAAAGAGACAATTTAGTATTTCCCAGTCTCAACAGTAATTACCAGAGACATGGCTAAGAATCATCTCTTTCATTAACTGAGTCTATTAAAAAGAAAAAGATATGCTATGAATTTATTTATAAATTGCTGTGTTTATAAATAATATGCCTGAGTGAAATATGTTACTGGCATGTTGAACATCATAATAATTGGTTATAATAGGTCTGTTTAAGCTGTTATATAGAGAGACAAATTTTTTCCACTCTCAGCAGTAATTAATCAACAGAAATCTCAACATTGAGACATGGTGAAGAGTAATCTCTTCCATAGATGAAGTCTATTCAAAAGAAAAAAAATGTTATGTTATGTTTTGAAAAAAGAGCCTCAATGAAACATGTTACTGGCATTTAGAATATAATATTGTTACTTTTGATTTGTAATACAAAAAATTGTTGTATATAGAGAGAATGCCTGAATTTTGATACTATTCTAGTATTATGAGATGTACAAGTGCAGATTAAAGAGATGTGATATTTCAAAGTTACAGTTTTGTTATTCGTGACACTAAGGTGCTTTACATATTGTTTGCATTCCAGCTAGTGAAAAGGGTTGTTAATAGTGTTCTTTTTTTTCAGATCAATCATCATGTTTATATTTATTGCAGATTCTATTATCATGAAACACATTTTACTTATATTTAGAGATACCTTGTTGATACTACAACATTTTTTTCACTTTGTTTAGTTCAGACTTCGCTACCTGCTGTAGCATTCAATGGTCCCTTGTGGATGCAAATAAATCTGTATTGTTCACAAATAACTTTGAAACATAATTTTTCTAAGCAACTTGGTAAATCATTATACGTCCCAATAAATTCTCAAAGGTGTTAATTGCTGGTTGCTGCCTGGATATTAAAAAGTGGCATTTCACTTATAGAAAAAATTCATACATTAGTGGAAAACCCAGTTGAATGAAGAGGTGAGAAGTGGCTGGGATTGAAACAATGTATACTAATTTTTGCATAGTTATCTTTGTGAAGTAAATACAGCACTCTTGTTGAAAGATTGAGTGTGTAGCTCCAAGATCAGTAAACAATCTGGTCATAACAATGAGGAAAGGGAAGAGCTACATGTCGATCAAGACTCATTTAAGCTACTAAACTTTGAACTTTGCACCAATGCTAGAGACTTTAGTAGCTGCCCCCAGTATGGTTTCTTGAGCTAATTTATTGAAAATTGCACCTTACAAATGTTGCTGTGTGTTATAATTTTTTTTTTGTCTTTTAAGTATTGGTCCCATCCTGCATATCACTGTAACATACCCTTAGAAAATTACAACTCCCTGACAAAAAGGTTTAATTTCTTTGCCATCGCTGCCAATGTTCGCTATTGTGAATGTTCCAGACCTTAGAGAATTCTTCGTCTGATGAATCTACCAGAACAAATTTCAAAAATTTGGCAGCAAATTCTGCACTTAACATCTTCCCTTCCTTTTGAACCTCATCAAAATAGGATACATGAGGCAGTTGTTGTTCCTTAGCCAATTTAATATGTTCCCACAGTCCTTCTGTATCAACAACACCTGGAAGAACATCAGCAATTTGGACATGTGACCCTTTCAATTCCACAGCTAATTGCTCGTAAAGCCTCTGAAAAGCCATCTTGGTGATTCCATAGGTAATTGTTCCAAGCTGAGGTTTTTTAGCAACTCCTGTTCCAAGGTGAATTATCCTTCCCTTGCTGTAGTTCAATCTTGTGAAAAATCCTTTGGCTAGCATGAGTGGTGCAGTGACATTTACTGCAAAGGCATACTCAAACTCTTCGCGCTGAATATCCTGTAGTCTTGATGGGACTCCCACAGCAGCATTTTGGACCAAATATTTTACACTGTCACCCTCTGGTATAAAATCCAGTATCTTTCTTTGGCCATCAGTGGTTGCTATATCAACAGCAAGAGGATAAATGCTGTCTGGAGAATAACTTTGGGTTTCTTGTAATGGCTGAAGTCTGCGGCCAATTGCAAGGACGTTCAAATCATGACATGACAATTCCTTGGCCAAAGCAGAACCAATACCAGTCCCAGCACCTGTGATAACTGCCCAATTTTTCATCCTTTTCTTGCCGGACAATGTAAACAAGTGGACAAGACAAATGTTACCAACATACTGAAGATCAGAGCTGAACACCATTATTTAATGAATGTAACCGAGAAGTTGCAATTCATCGACCCGTATAAACAAAGTCTGTGAATAGTAACTTCTCGGTTACATTCATTAAATCTCTAAACCAGAGTAGTATCAAACCATGTCTGATTCTTGGACCCTCCCCCCCACGCCTCGTAACAATTTGACGACAGCGTAGGAAATCTCGTCCGAAATTAATAGCAATTTTTTTCTAAGAAGTCACCTTGATAGACAGACATTTACTAATATCTTTTAAAAGAACATTTCACATGAATATAGTTTTAAAGGATTACGTAACGTTTCAGAAAGCGAAAGTCGCGTCTTTGATCCACAACATTACGTAATAAAAGGAAGTCTGGAGCTCCAGGCAAATGATCTGGAGAGTATAATTAAAACATTACGTTGGTACCTTTCGCTCTGGAAGGTGTACTATACCAATTCACCGGTCCGCACGTTTCCTACACGCTTAATTCAGAAGGTGATGCCCAGGCTGTTCGCTAGCTTCGCGTGACAGGAAGCGTGACACTGGGGCTTAAACGGAATCACAACCTAATGGACTCAACAGCTGTGTACTATATGTGCCGCTCAGCAGGTTAAGGTTTTCGGGGTAAAAATCCTATTTATATTTCTTCCTTTTTAATCATTTTCCTCTCTGTTACTGAGAGAAAAAAAAAAGCATGACGGAAGTGTAAAAACACATGGCTCAATGGGTCAATCTGTTTTTCACTTTCGGTGGCTCTATTTTTAATCCTTCCCTAGCAGCCTGTTTTGAAGCGGAGGAACTTTCTCACAACATGTTCCCACTCCTGGAGAGAGTTACAACATGTCTTACTTGCATGTCTTTGTTGCTGAGGAAACTAATTATTTTTCCCTAACGAAATTATTTTTGATTGATTTCTTCCAGGACTCTCGTCACTTCATCAAGCATTTCAATCTTCTTTATCTTAATCTTATTTGACAGTTACAAGTCTTTAATATAATTTTAAAAGACGTCGTTTGAAATATGATACACTTTATATTTTCAGAGCGATATTTGATATTTGCACTTCAGCCTTCAGAATTGACCAATCGGAAAGCCCTTCTAGTTCTTTAGTTCAACTTTGCCTGTCCAGGGTCCCCTTGAGGTTGAAAGCATGTCCGCCATCTTAATCACTCTGACACGACATTCTTGTGGCAGTATTATTTAAGGCCTGGCATGCTCGGATAGTCCTTCGTCCTTTATTGTTCTGTTTTAACCTCTAGGGAAGTTTTTTATTTCTGAAATTAGACAGTGGGTGTTTAATTTATCGATCAAAATAGCTTTTACGCTCTGGTCAGTAGTGCGATCATTCAATAGCAACATGCCTAGTATCCCGGCCGCTAAAAACGCGAACAAAGAAGGTAAGGCTAATTTAACATATATTTTGGAAGCAAGGGGTGATTTTTAAAGTTTTATAACATGGAATAATTCTATTGAAGTGAATTTAGTGCAAGGTAATTTGGCAATTTTCAATACAGGCATGGCGAAAACCACTACAGAAGACAGCGACACCGATGAAAGCTACGACAGTTTGCCTGAATTGGTGGCTTGCACGGACGACGAGGTTAGAAAAGTTGATTTTATTTGTAATTTCCGTGTACGTCATTGCATTTATGGCCGGTGAATAACGCGAGTTCAAAACTCTTGTTACCTTAACTAAAGGACTCCGAGGATGAAGGTTACCGTAAGAAGTCTGCGTCCAAGACTAAAACCAAGGGAAAGGACAAATCAACAGCGAAGGCAAAAAACAATGGTCAGTTTATTATGAGACTCCGAATTAGACATAAACTTGATAGTCAGTGCTGTGAATGTGAAATACAAAAGGATAAAAGTAGAACCTGTAGAACTCGCTATCACTGAAATTACTCAATTAACCACGTTGTTAATTAAAATTGATTTGGCAATAATGCTTACGTTGCATTAATCTGAATAAAGATATATCGGAATTTATATCAGAATCGAGTTACTTCGAGAGACCTGATAGGCCAAAAACCTTTCGTTTATTGCACTAGTAAAACCAAAGAAATTGATTCAATTCAAATTTATTCATAAAAGTAATAAACCGCATTTTCTATCGGTTTTGTGATGTAATAATCCCTTTGATAGGTTGGGTGAACGCTCAAAAAGTTTGCAAATCCTTTACCTCTATCTCATAATTTGTATACTTCTTTGTGTTCTCCATTGTCCAGCATGGTTTGTTATGCTGGTAAACCAAAAAAAAGGAAATGAACACACCAGCTCAAACGTCTTTGTAATTAAGACTTTTCTGTATTAAGTCAATTATTTTGTAATCATGACAAATGAAGAGTTAAGTTCCTTCTGCTCAAAGCCAAGAATTTGTAATGTTAGGATCAGTCATTTTACTTGAAGTCTAGTGATGACTATTCCCACCAGTTTCTCTCTTTTGACCAAAAACAGTGGAGTAACACTCAAACTCCCAAGATTCCCGTCACCTACTGCCATACATTTGCTTGTAACTGAGATGAAAGAATTTGGTGTGACAGGTGTTATTAATGTTCTATTTAATCATTTGTTTTGTGGATAGTGTCTTAAATTACACAGGGATGTTACTTTTTTATTGCATCTTGGGAATTGATTTGTGAAAAGCAGACAACAGGATGGCTGATTTCTATCTTGTTGTACTCTTTGCACTTTCCAAACCTTCTTAAAGTGCCCATGACACAAAATTCTTTTTTGTATAAATATTTAGCTTATCATATGTACAAACCAATTCTGATAGAAGAAAAATTTCAAAAAACTTAAAACTCAGTTTTTTTGGGCCCTGAAGTGCTCTTATTCTGTTTTAAACGTCTCCCTTGGACTGGTAACAAATTAGTAGGTATATATATATATATGTTCCCTTAGCTCTGGTTGGAGCATAGGCCATTAACCAGTTGATCTGGGCAAATAAAGTGGCAAATTAATAGGTGATTAAGTAGTAAATTAGTAGGTGATTATGTAGAAAACTGTGAAAATTCTCAGTTGACACCTACATCTTTTGTAATTTTGTATCTGTCAGCATTAAAATACTCTTGAAATAATATGTAATAGAGATGTATACCCACCTTCAGCAAGCTCTACTGAGAATTGTGATGCGTCATACTTAAGTAATAGGGAAGAAATGGTAGTTGTGATTATGGTTCAGCCCTACAAAGGAGAACTGCATGCATCAAACAGAGATTTCGACAAAGACTGACAAAGACGGTTTCTCAACTGCAGTGTTCAGGTCAAGATTAGAGTAAAAAATTTCTGTTACTGAATATTTAGTTTGTTGTGTTTGTGTTTTGTTTTCTAAGGCGAAATCTATGGTAAGAATAGCTAGTTGTGTTTGTTTCTGTTGCCATAGCATTTTATTCCTTCACACTGTGTGACAAAGGTTCCCTGTAGTCAGTGCTCTAGAGTTTCATTGCTATAGAGAAATTCCTGGAGTAAACCAAGAGCTAACTTTTGACAAAAGAATCAGCTGTATCAATATTTTTCACCAAGAAGTCATCAGGCAGTTTCACTGCAAGTTGCTCCTTTCTTCAGAGATTGTAAAGGTAGAGGCTATCGTCATGATCATCGAGCCAATCAAACCGAACAGAAAACAAACCCCAACCCTAAGCTATAATCAACAACAGGAAGAGCACTATTCTTTGCTTGCAAAATGTCAACTAAAAAGAATGTGGAACAATCGTGTACAGTGTGGGAACAGGCTGCTTAATCAGCACTCTTTTTAGCTGACTTTGATTATCTTCTCCTGATTTGACTAGTGGTACATGTTCATAACAGGCATCTTCAAAGCTTGCATGGAGCACAAGGCAGATGACATCGAAGAGTAAAATCTCCTTGATGTTGACAATCGAGACATGTCCATTTTGGCCATAGAGCTACATCCTTCGGAAAGTAGTGTGTAGAAATACATGTATAAATGTATTATTCTTGTAGCTAACATCATTTGGCACTCTGGTCATGCAATACATTTGCCCTTTCTTCTAGATTTTTCCTTTCTCCACCATAGTTGCCAACATGTGTTCACAGTTTTCAATGTCACAGCTATGTAACATGATCGTTTTGGTTGTGCGCTTAATTGGGGCACTTTTTGGCTGCCAAATCATACTTTCAATGCACAAAAAAATGGTCAAGGAAAACTCACTAGGCACTAAAGTTGATTATTTCTACTTTTAAATACAGCTATCAACCTGAAAATGCAAAAAAATATTTCATGTCACAGGCACTTTAAGAGGAAGCAGTTACAAATGATTCTAAAACATTATTTTTAGAGAATTAACAAACATTTAACATGAATATGTGGGGTCAACTTAAAATAGCCTGTGAGAATGACAGTGATTACAACCCTTTTGTTTTTCTTCTTGTTTTCTACTGTTTCTACTTGGTTTGATGTTTCATTTTCTTTTTCTTTTTTTTATCAAACGATAGCTGAGTGTGCAGATATTTGGTATAAACTGAGCAAAGATGAAAAGGAAAGTCACATCCGCGTCATGAGGATTTACCTACTATCACCTTTCCTGTTTGGTCAAGTTTATCAAGATGACAAGGTAAGACACATTTGTTATACTCATTTCAAGCCTGGTTTAAACATCACTACAAGTGAGTGAAACCTAATTTGTTAAGTTTTGACATGAGAGTTTTGGCTGAATCAATTTACTTGCTAGACTGAAATGTTTAACGTGTGTGTTGCTATATTTGATTTGGGGCTTAGTGTCTAAATGACGTAAGGTTTTGTTATTGAACAGAACACTTTCATATGTTCTTTTTCTTAGTGGATTAACTGGGCATATGATTGCAAGCTGTTACCCTCCAAGAGGTATAATATAAATTTGTTTTTACGGTCTCAGTCAGTAGTAGTTTCAAAAATCAGGATTCAGTATTACAATTTGGGGGAAGATGTGAATGACACTTGTTCAATGCTGAATAGATTCCTTTAGATTACACTATTTTTACCCAAATTTTCTCATTCCTTTTCTTGAACTACACTATTTTTACCCAAATTTTCTCATTCCTTTTCTCAAACTACACTATTTTTACCCAAATTTTCTCATTCCTTTTCTCGAACTATTTTTGCAGTTATGATTAACCCCAGCCCTTTCACTTCCAAGATAAAAAAAAATTTAATCTTTGCTCTGAGCTCCATACATTGCTTATAATTTTAGCTTAAATTTTGTGGATTTGGTGGCCAATCAAACCTTATCCCTAAACATGATATGTTTTCTTTCCTTCTTAACACCTTTTTATTAGAAAATTTATTAATATTTTAAGGAGACATTTCTTTTTGGTTACTTCTGGGAATGAAAGGGTCAAGCTTCACAGGAAATTTTAATGGGATTAAAAGGCTAGTATCATTGATTGACAATTAATGGATTGATAAGTTTTTAGCTGATAGTTCCTTCCTCAAATTCCTTGGGGATTATATCTATGTGGGACTGGAATCACTCAGTCAGTCTGGTATTGGGGTGATTAAAATTTATTTTCTGCTTCTATGATGTCATTTGGTGGATCATGCACTCTTTATTAAATAGCTGGTGACTTCACTAGTGAAACAAGTGCCTGTGCTTGTGAAGTCAGGTTAGGACCATATAAGTGTTAGGTAGACACTTTCAACCAGTTGAAGGGGCCCCCTAAAAAGTCATTGTCTAATTGCAGAATACAACAAAATGTAAACCATGCAGATTGTTGTGTTTTTTGGTGACTTAGAGAGAATTAGAAGCAAGTCCCTCTAGGGCATTTAAGGGTTAATGAGGAATTCAGGGTAAACACCATATGGTAGGCATTGTTTCTGGAAGAGACTAAAACTGTCATATCAAATTTTAAAATGGGATATCACTTCAAGGTTAGAATTTTTAGGCTCTCCTCTACCTAGCACCTTTCCTGATTGTATTTTTGTTTTTTTTATCTCTACTAGCGACTTTGAGATAAAGGAATTGAGTGAGGAGCGTTTTAATGTAGTGGATTTAGTTGAAACAGCATTCAACAAACTGGCTGAAAACGTGGTTAGTGTAGTGCTTTTGAATTAATCATGTCCAATGAGAAGAGTATCTTTGATTGTAGTGCCCTCATTAAAATGCATACTTGATTGATTATTCTTTAGCTTCTAAAAAATAAAGATGGCTTGGTTAAGACACTGGACATTATGGGAAATCCAAGAATGACAATGGTAAGTATGTTAAGATAGAGCTGAAACTGGTGGTGTTTGTTACAGACCTCTTTACTAAGCAAGGCAAGCATTACCACTTTTGCAAACAATTATTGTTGTTTGAAACATGGCTATGTATGGGCTGTGTAATTAATCTGTTTTCTGTCCAAACTTTTTTGCTTTATTTTTCTTTGACCAGTCCCAACACAGTGACAAGGCAATAACCTGTGCAGAGAGTTTTCTTTCCTTCAGCAACACAAGGTAATCAGGTTTTTACTCTCTAAAATGTGCAACGGTTTTCTCAAAGGTTACATCAAGTCAACCAAAGGTTATAAAGTAGTCTTTAGTGAAAAAAGAAAAGGGATGTTTCACACATTTTGCACAATGGGTTGTGTTAATGACTATATGTCTATGAGCATGTTCAAGCTTGCTTTCCTAAAAAGAATTTAAAGGTGCACACATCACCCAAAGGCTCAGTATGTGGACAACCTAGGTTAAGGAGGCAATTAAAATCTTAAATTGTGAAAGAAAGCTTATGATTTTCAAGCCTTGTCCTGCATGGAGAGGATAGAGGTTTAGAGGTTTCTTATTTAATTGAAACTCTTGTTTAAAATAGCAAGACATAAAATCATTTATGCAAAGTTAATGCTCAATTGCAGTTAAAGGAGTACTGAACAGATGTTATCATTTCACAAGGCAAAGATTCCTCTTGATAATAGTCCAGATGTACTGTGTTGTTTGATGTTGTTCTGGACATTCCCCTCAGCTCCCCCCTAACTCTCATACTTTTCTTAAGAGAGTTTGGCTTTTAAACTCTTGAGTGTTGCAAGCTGCTAGAGACAATGTCTAAATTTATATCGAACTCTTTTAAAAGAGATAAGATCAAGCTGAAGTCAGGATTGAATAAGAAACAAGCAGATGTGGCCCTACTTTTAGCACACAATCAAGGTAAGATTTCGTGTGCTTGTACAGTGCATGATACACACCTGTATTTGATTAGAAAAACTCAGCATGTGACCTGCTTGACTTATTTAAGTGCTGTTGTACTTTTTGTAAATTGTCAACTTAGTTGCTTAAAATGTATGTAGGGTCAAAGGGGTGGCCTTAATTCATGGATAAGTAGAGGTTGGGTACCTGAGACGTCTAGGAGCTTCCACTATTGGTGGCCAGCTCCTAGATGGAGATTGCTCCCATGACTGGCAAATCTAGGCAACCCAGCCCTGAGCCCTCAGGTAGAAAAGGGAAACAGGCACCTGTCACACTGAATAAACAGTGGAAAGAGGGAGGGAAGGGGTGCTTGGACTATGAGCTGCCACTCCAAACAATGCTGAACACCTCAAACAAAGAGCGCATGGAATTCCAATGCGTGCTCGTAAGCAAAAACTGCTCACTAAAAGAGAACACTGATGCTCTTTGTCGTTAACTCCAATAAATTGCTTTCAACTTCTTTAAAAATTGTTTATTTTGGATGTTTCCAAGAGGTGATTGCATAAGGAAGTTTGAATGTATTTGGCTTAGAAGTTTCAAACAGAATTTTTCTACACAGGCTAGTATGTTGGGAGTTAGTTGTGAGAGAGGGTCAAGTGAATGACAATATTTACTTTTCCTACAGTTGCTGATCATGTCAAACAGTTAGCAGCTGGTGTGGATCTTGCTGAACAGTTCAACAAGAGGTGCAAGGAAGAAGAAGAAGTGAGTGTATTTGTTTGGTTCTGATCACTATTGAAAAGGTGTTTGTCATTTTTTTTTTTGTCAGGAAAGAATGTGAGGTGTGTTTATGTACTTTCCCCTTGGAGATGCATGTAGAAATAATGTATTGACTCTTGCAGAGCTTGCTTTATCCTTGGCTTGTGCAATGTTTTCCTTTTCAGGCAGTAATTGGTAAAATTTACTGCCTATAGTACCTCTTACTACTGCCTAAAATTGCTTTGAAGTCTTGAAAATTTAACAGGTAAAAGGGTTATACTACCACTACTCTTTGACTTGTCATGTATAAAAAATAAAGGAAAACAATGCATGTGGTTCATGGAAACTTTGTTTTTCCTTGCTCTGTGAAAGGTGGAATAATTAGTTTCATTCCCTAAACATGATATATTTTGTTTCACATATGTCTTCATTTTTTGTAAGGTACAGAAGAAATGTCATGTAAAGTTGTGCATAACTAAGTGAGACATTGTACTCTGCACATTAAGATTTCTTTGTTCTACAAAGTTGGCAGAGATCATACATACATTTGCTTTTTGTTCATACTTGTTTGCCTGTTTAAAACCAGGCTTTAGAATTGGCTGTTGGAGTTTAAAAATTGAACTTTGTTTTCATTATTTAATGCAATCTAAAGAATCATGTGATTGTACCTTTCTGCATTACAGAAAACTGTTGACAAAAAGAAAGAGGGAAATGATGCATTTACCAGTGGAAAATATACACGTGCAATTTCAGTTTATTCTATGGCTCTACATATGAGGTAAGGGTTAGTTTTCTGAAAGTAGTATTTCATTTTATATTATAAATTGCAACTTTTCTAAATCTCTATCTGGGAGGCACACATTCAATTCTAGTCTAAACTCAAATTTTTTTAAGACTTATATATTTTTCTTTTTGCAATGCTCTAACCCTTTCACTCCCAAGATCTCCTATTAGTAATTCTCCTTACTGTCTGCCATATGCCTGAAGATTTCTTATAATTTCAGTTCTAAGAATTTAGTGTTGGATCAAATGATAATCCTGTAATTGATGTTTTTCTTTATTCTCATCACTTGTCTTCTTGATATTGCATTGATTTTAAAGTGAGAAAGTACGTATTGGTCACTGCTTGGAGTGAAAGGGTTACTTGCAACTCACTCTTGAGGATCATTTCTTTACTTGCTTTGTACTTCATCTGAAAATACAGTTTCTTTGTTTGGGTGGAGCCTTCCTGTTAACCCTAAACTCCAATGAGCGACCAAGACAGAATTTCTCCTTACAATATCAATACTATATCAACCGGATAAGTGATGAGAATAGAGAAGAATATCAAGTTGGGGATAATTGGTTGATCCAATACTAAATTCTCAGAACTAACATAATAAGAATTGAATGGTTGACAGTGAAGAGAATTACAAATTGATCAGGGAGTTAAAGGATTAAGAACATGATAGGTAGTTCCCCTTGTGGATAATGGAGTCATGACTGTAGTTACATTTTCAACAATCATACTTCCATTGATTTTTAAGTTTATGCAATTAAATGTGATGTTTCTTTTCTTTTTACAGCGCATATAATCACGTTCTTTATTGTAACCGATCGCAGAGCTTCCTTAAAACTAAACAGTTAGGGTAAGGTCATAACTACATGGATCTTTGCCTATGAACATTTAAGTTACATCAGTTGATGCACAAATCTATTGAATGACATTTTAAGTTTGTTTTTCATTATAATAAAGCAGAATAGCTGTGTCCTCTGTTCTTTGATATTTGTTGTAGTTGACCTAGAGGGGAATTGCCATTTACTGACCTGCTAAATTAGTTAAGAATATGAACAGCACTATCTCTATGAATTGATTTTCAGGCCAAAATTTCACAGTGTATGATCAAACTACTCCTGCTAACTTTCAATCTCTTAATTTGCCTCTAATGGTTTGTGTGATGACGTTTTTCCTCATCTTGCATGCATATTTTTGTCATTGCATGAGAAAAGATCACATACCTCAAGGTATGTTAGACTCTCTCTACACATATAATGGAAGTAATTTAGGGTTGTTTGTTCTAACAGAAGTGCCCTTGCAGATGGCAGGAGAGCAGTTGTACTTAAGGCAGACTGGCATAAGGTAGAGAGTTTTATTATAATTTTAATGATAAATATGGTTGTTAGACTGAGTATGATTGCCTTGGTAATAACAAAGTGACTTGCAAGTCACATGTAAATACTAAGACAGTTCATGATGGCACATTTGTGTTCTTTAGGCTCAATATAGATATGCACAGGCATTTTTTGAGACTGGAAATATTACCAGAGCAAAGGAGGCAAATAGAGCTGCATGCAAAATTTGCTCTGACAAGAAAGATCTGGAAGCCCAGTACAGAATGTTTGACAGAGGTATGTCTTTTTTACATTTTTCTTCAAGACAAATACAATTTTGATCATTGCAAGAGCCCATTTTAACAAAAGTTCTTAAGTAATGTACCAAACATATAATTTATCAGTCAATACTTCAAATATATACCTGTATTTAGGGCCTAGCAAGAAACACTGTGCTTTGGGTGTACCATTTAAGCAAGTATATAGAAAATTGACCCCCTTGACAAAAATTTGTGGAGGAAAGGGGGACTACCTGAGATTTTTAATCTAAACAAAATAAACTAGAAAACTATGAAAGAAAGAAATTATGTTGTTTTCCCATGTCCTCTTAATTTAGTTGCTAAAGATGGTAAAGGAAAAGCAACAGAAAATAAGAAGCCTTCGAAAACTTCTGTTGCTAAACAGAAGGATTCTAGGGATAGGTGAGTTAGTAGAGAGAAAATATTTGTTGATGTGCAAATTTGAAATTCTTGATAACTGGGGCATTCTTTGTTGCTAGACTGCTCTAATTTGAGTTCAGGCTCTAAAGTTTATATGTTCATGTAAAAAAAAAAAAAAAAAAAACAATTTACTCACTCTCTTCTGAATACCTTGGTTCAGTAAGGGTTCAAGGAAACTGTCTAAATTTGGAATTTGTTTACTTGTTAGTGAGCCAGAGGACCTTCCAGCTTTGGTAGATCCAGAGTCCAGTGACACAAGCAGAGATAACTCTGATGACGAGGGGGTACCTGACTTGGTGGATCTGGAAAGTTCAGAAGATAGTGATGTTTCTGATAATAATGATAAAACAGAGGTAAAAACTTACTTGAAGGTGTTATTATTTATGCTTATATTCCATTCTTGGCTACAACATCTTTCTTTTATAGTGATAGAGTCGGAAACATAGTTAAGTACTGTAGGGTGAGGGAGGTTGCAAATTTAAGATCTTATAACTACATCGTGCTGTTTGTCGGTCTGTATTTTATATATGATATTCTTTTCAGTACAGGTATAATAGTTAAATTTTGACTATCACTTAATATTGTCCTTTCTTACTTCATGAGATGTTTGCTTCCTTTTCGGTTTTAGGATCCTCACACAGAAACCTCTGATGGTAAGCCTACCATTACCTTCCATGACCATATTTATGTAACCTATTCACTCCCAAGATCTCATTAGTAATTCTCCTTACTGTCTGTTTTACAATTCTTATGATGTTAGTTCAGGGAATTTGGAATTGGATTAACTAATAACCCACTTATTGATATTTTTCTTTATTCTCATTGCTTGAGAGTGAGATTTGAAGGATTAATTTGAATTTTGTGATTGAGACACATTGCAGTTATGTTATTTGATATGTGATCAATATTATTTGATTCCTTCTCGGAACACTTGGTAAAGATATTTTTTCTTTGTTTCTTCATTATCTAGGATATGAATCAAATGAATCTGCAACCAAGTGAGTAAATATATCATCAAATGTTGTTTGTTAACTTTTTTGCTTTTTCGTATTTTTTTTTTTGAGAGAGACTGGCCAACTAACTGTGTGGCCAAAGGTCTGACTGATTCAGTGAGGATTGATGCTTATGGTTGACTGGTGATTTTACAATAAATGAATTAACTGAGCTCTTTTTTCCAACTTATTTTCAAATGTTGATTTGCAGGAAAAAGAGTGCTGTATCAACAAAGGTAAAAAAAACTACAAGAAAATGCATGCATGTATCTTTACAATCCTTCCTTTAATTCTGTTGTTTTTTGGGTGATACTTTTTTATCAAATATTTTTCTCTTAAGTCCAAGAAACGTCACCCAAGTGAGAAGATCAAACAAATTATCAGAGGAGCGCTTCAAGAAAAAGCTAAGACAGAGGAAAAACCTAAAACAGAGGAAAAACCTAAGAAAGAAGAAAGACAGAAGAAGCCTGTAGAGCCCGCAGTCAAAAAAGAAGCTACAAAGCCAGTAAAGCAGAATAAAAAGGTCATGGTATGAATTCTATTCCATAAATTTGTGCATTTGTACCAGTAGTTTTTAACTTGATATTTGTCAGTTTTTCTTATTTCACTTTGTTTTAGTCATTGTGTCGAAACAGTATTGATGTTAGCTTAAAATTACTTGTCTTCAGGCGAGGAAAGTTAAACATATTTATCTTTTACAGGGGTCACAAGGAGATCAGAGTGGGAATAATCCAAAGTTAAGAGAATTTACCTCCCACCTCAAACAAGTAAGTGTGCAAAGTGAAGTCCTTTGAATAGATCAGTCAATCACTCTTTTAACTTTAAGATGGGATAATGTTGCTCATTTTGTGTGACCCAAAACTCTTGACAGTGAATTAAAAGTGATATCAAAAAGTAAAATCACAGAAACATGGCATTAAAAAGCAAAATCAGAGGGTACAGTATTTGTGTTTGAATAAGGGTTTGTTTTTTTATTTTGCTATGAATTATAGGGGAAAGTTCTGCTCATGGTGGAGTTATCTGTAGCTCTGTAATAGTCCATCTTAGTGTGAAAGCTAAAGTGTTGGGATTAAATTCTTTAAGAGGGACTTGGATGTTTCTTTTCTGCACCCATGATTAAAGCAAGTAACTTCTTTATTCAAGTGATAAAATTTAGCAAACACTGGCCACAGAGTTGTTTATAAATTTCTTAATTTAATTTGTTCTTTATAGGGAAGTAAAGCTATGACAGAAAAGAAAAACGACATTGCTGTTTGTAATTATGGAGAGGCTGTTGCACTTTTAAAAGAGAATGGTAATCAATACCAGGTAAGTACTTTTGGTAATGATAATGACAATAACCAATGAAGTTTATTGTACAAATGAACCTCTTTGCTCATAGTGACCTGTCTCTGACCACACTGTGTGTTGGACTATTTTACATTTTGCTTGGTAAATAGTATAATTATAATCAGGGTAGCCTGCCAAGCTCCCTGAAGTGGAGACCCTGACAGGCTGAGCATCTAGTGATTAGAAAGTGTAAATGTAGCACTGGATAGGAGTCTGTAAGCAGAGAAATTATCCACTATGGTCATTAAATACTTAAATCTACTTGTTTAACCTTTTGGGGGTATGTTGCCAATGGGTATAGACTAAGCTAGCCATGAATTATTTTGGAATTAAACATTTAAAGTATTGAGAGACATCTACTTATTTATGGTTGGAAAATAATGAACAAGTCTGGATTGTTTATATTGAGTAGTAAAACACAGACTTACAGTAATACTTAAAATCTTAAATTATTCCTTTGCACTCACCAGTTGCCTGAAATTATTAAAATGAAAAGTTATTTTGCTCCTGTCATGGCTGAAAAACAGAAGTTTGCATAAAGACAAGCAGCTATAAAAAGCTCTGTGTTTGTACTCTGATGATGATGCGAGAGTTCTCATGCTTACTTACTGGAACCTTTTTTCCCCCATCAGATCTATGAAATGAAGGAGATAGATTTTGTTATATTACTGTATAGTTTTGGAGCAGCTCTCTTGGAAGTTGGTGGCCAGGAGGTAGACGATTGTTTCTAATTTTGTAAAATCACATCTTGCAATTTTTGTTTAAATGTAGATAGCTTCAGGCCATAATAGTCTATTGAAAAGCAGTAATTTCTAATGTGTTTCTAGGTTCATTAATTTTTGTGGCATGCTTTAATGTCATTTATTTTAGAATACAACCATCATGTAAAATTTGTATCTTAATGTAAATTTATTTTGATTTGGCTTTTCTTTTTTCAGGAACTACTGGCAGCCAAGAAACATTTTGAGATTATTGTAGTAGAACATAAAACTGTAGTCTTTCCTTTAGCATATTTAGGAACAGGAAGGGTGTTTTATAAACAGAACAGGTATGAAATGGTATTTCAAAATCATTTGAGTATTCTTGATGCTATTTTAATACAATTTATGTGTGGCAGCTTATAATTGAGCCTGGTCTTGTCTGAAAATACCCTCAACGTCTTGAAGGAGAGATAAGCTTCAGAAACCGCACAATTTTTGTCTCCCACTTCAGAAAATATCTGTGAAATTATGACACTGACCTCTTTTTACCCAAACAGAACTCTTCAATTTTAATGCATCATATAAATAGCCTAAATTTAATGCCTTTCTGACTTGTCTTGAGTTGTCCTCATTCAGTGCAAAAAATCAAAACCTGCTTATATGTATTTGCCTTAGGTTCACAGAAGCCTTAGATCATTTAGAAGAAGGCCTTGGTTTAGTAAACAAATTGGGTGATGAGAAGTTAGCTTCTTATAGATGGCCTGGGTCTCAAGTCATTATTGACGACACTAAACCTGGAAAGTTATTGGTAATAATATTTTCTCATTTTAGTGTAATTTTTTTTTGTTCTCATTCAAGGCATATTCATTCCTGTTTTAGAAAACTTGGTTGGGAGTTTTACTTACAGCATTATATTGTTGTTGTTTTTTTTTTTCTTTTTCTTTTGATGCTGTGAAATGCAGTAAAATATTTGCTGTTTGCAAATTTTCCATACTCATCTGCCAAAAAAATCCCCTTTCAATAGTTCAGGAGTTTTTCTTGATCAAATGGATTGTGAATCACTTAACCAAAGAGACATAGACTCGGCTGATAACTCCAATTTTACAGTAGGGAAAACTTCCTTGACTTCAGCTCTTCAATTAATGGTAGCTGTCTTTTGAAAAGTAACAATACCTCAGAATAATACTGTGGTTGTATGTTTCTCAGTCTTTCTCTCTCGTTTCAGAGTGCTATTCAGACGTTAATTAGAATTTGTCGTCATCCACCGCGACCTGATGTTATTTGCAGATATCCTGATTGTCCAAATAAAACACAGATTTACCTTACTGATCCTGGTAGGTGTGCTTTTGATCTGATGAGCAATTCTCCCTTTTAAATACTATGACGAATTAGTTAAGAGAATTTGTAGTTATATCAAAAAAAGGAAGGTTGTTTGTTCTCATAACGTGTTTTGTACTGGATACAAGAAGTGACCATCTTGTTTCAGGGGCTCAATTCATGAGCCCCTGAGTGAAAGTGGAGTGAAAGTTTGTGGGCAGGGAAAAAAAAAGGAAGGAGGCTCACTCTGGTGCCACTATGGCACTACTTTTATAACCTGAGTGCATGGAATGGGCTAAAAAGATATGAACAGATGTTAGTCTCTTCTGGAAGGTTCAGAATAAAGTTTATAATTCTCCTGTATATGTCCTTTCCAGAAGATTAATTGTTTTTGTTTAATTTAAGAGTACCTGGTTTCCTGTCATAATCTGTCTATTGTTTCTCAACTTCAGACTACAAAGGATACATACGACTAATCTGTCATGAAAACTGTAAAGTAGATTTCCATCCAGGATGTTGGAAAAAGCAAAAGAGCTCCGAAGATGGAAAAACTGGCGACAAGGCAAGAATAAAAATGTCGAAAGTAATGCCATGCAGAATTTTTTACTGTAGTTGAGCTCCTGAAGAAAGGTAGAATTTCACATGAATCAGTTGAACACTGAAAGAGAGTACAAAGAAAAAATTAATTAAAGAGTGGTTCCGGACAGAATAATTGAAGAAGTCTGTCTTTTTTTTCGCTAAGCTGCAACAAGCGTTTGATTGCTGGTCAAGAGCTTGCTCATGAAGCTAAATTAAGTAAATTGCTTTGGCCAGGGAGAAGGGAAGTCAGATATTTTTTACAAGGTTGGGCAAAACAGTTATTGGTAACTTTTGAAGCAACAAAGGATGATGACCAGACTTAAAGTCTTTGTTTTTGTTAAGAATGGATAAGAAATAGAACAAATCATATGTGGGGGCTCTTTGTCTTCTTCTATGTAAGGTTGAATCAGAATTTCTGTGTGGTTTGTTTTCGACGAAAGAAAAAAAAAAAAGGAAGAACACTAGCTAAGAGAAACGCGCATGAATAATGACGAGAACTATCAACAGCCTCAATGCAAGGTACAGGAATGGGAGCTAAGTGCCATTGTAAGTGTACCACCCTTGCTGCCATGTTAACTACGTTTCTTTTTCTGTTTATCCAGGATTTTCTTGATGATATCTGCATGACTCCTGACTGTGAAGGCTCTGTAATTAATGTCCAGATCTATGATATGGAAGGTCTTAAAACTGAGGTGGGCTGTCATGAGTGTGATAATGAACTTAACCTAAATTGGCACTATTAGTTGATGAGACAGATACAGTTGAACCTCTCTCTACAAACAGTTTCTTCTGTTCTGTTTTCACTGGGTAATACCTTTATTAGAGATGTGTTTATGCAATGCATATTTAAGTGAGTGTAAGATCTTATTTATTCATAAGTTCACGGGTTTATTACGAAGCAACATATTGACCAGCTCCCAGTTGGCTCGTAAGATCAGTTTGTAGAGCACTGTACCACCAGTATCGCAGAGGTCATGGGTTCAAATCCCGTACTGGCCTGAATTTTTTTCAGACTTTCTTTTTTCACCTAAAAAGCTGCCTAAGTAGTGTCCATTACGGCGAAGAACGCTTCCAAATTAATTTCTTAAACCGCAGTTCACATTTATGATTTTCACATGTTAACTTTCATGTAAGATCTTAAGTAGTCTTCTGGGCTTTGGCGGATAAGAAGGCATTTTTTGCATTAAACTCAATGTTCAAGTGCGTGGGTTTGGTAGATGTTGAAGGGAAGACTGACATTTGCATTGAAATTTATATTTTTCGTTGGCCCAGCACGACACATGCAGGAATGCTTGGAGATATTGTTATGATTTATGAATGTTTCGTTTGTTTAGTTTAAGCATGAGAAGCCAGCCACAAAACAGGAGAGCAAACCAAAACAATCAAAGCAAAATAAACTTAAAGCAAAGTAAGTTGTTGGTTTTGGTTCATTGATGATGCCTCTCACCATTTTTTAGAAATTTGTAAATTGAATTGTAATTTAATCTTCCATCAATTGATGCTGATCATTCTTGGAACTTGCAGGTTCATGTAATAATCATTTGTTCGTTTATTAGTGTTGCTGGTGCTAAACAAAAGAAAAAAAAGGATAAAGATGACATCAAGATAGAGGACTTTGCGACACCTGAAACATCGCCTAGTGACATTGGTGAAGAAAAGATGGTCCATAACCCCCCACCCCCTCCTCCCTTACCAGGTCAGTTTACACCGTTGTTCTCTACAGCTGTTTCTTTGAAATTGAGAATAATGGACAATTATGCATGTCTCACTCGAGTTAAACCATATTCCTCCAAAGATGGCAAACAAACTTGATCAAAAAGATCAAATATATGACTTTCATATATTCTTAATATATTCTTAACCGTTTAAACTTGATCCTGTCGTGTCTCAATGAGGTGTCTTTATGTGAGACTCGTTAGTCGTACATGAAATGAAATATGTGAGGCGTTACATTTTATTCATTTCTGGCAGTTTTATGTCAATTCCTTGTAGTAATGGTTTAATGACGAGCTCATACTTCCTTGTGCTAATTTTGTTGTAGGACAAAAAGAAGGGAAACCGATGAAGGGAGACCACAATCAGCTGGAAAAGGCAAGAGACATTTCTTGCTATTTTAGACAGATAATCAAATTTCCTGTGTAGCTGGGGGTTGTGCTTGCTTAAAAGCATTGAGCGGCAAAGTTCCGTTTTTTTGTTCGCGCCACGTCCTCAATACTCATCACCAAAGAAATTGTCACCCATGCAGGCTGAAACAGAAGAAAAAGAAATTACCCAGGGAAGCTAGGCACAGTGTTGTTTGTAACAACTCAGACTCATATGGAGCGTACTTTGTAATTGCTGGCTTGACATATGAGGAGAATGTTTGTCTTTCTATGCCAAGTGGTGTGTCACGATAGATGCATTTTCCGCAACCCTTTCCACCCCAACATAAGAAATTGCTTGGTATTGGCTGAGTTCCTTTTTTTGCGTTTTTATGGATCGAGACGAAGTCGAGGTCCATTAAAACGCTAAAAAAGGCATATATCCAGCCATATTAACCGAACAAGCTTGATCAGTAAAGGATTTATTATAAAGCGAAAAGATAACGCTCTAATAAGAATCAAGAATGACTTGTTTATTTTGAGAGCCGGGAAAGAAATCCAACAGTATTTGCAGCTCATTAAACCCACGAAGGACCTCATCGCCGACATTGTCCAAAAGTTACGAACTCTGTAAGTCCGCTCCATGCGCTTGCGTGGGATCAAAGCGGGCAATCCTGAGCGGGCAAAATGGGTCTATCTTGCGTGCTTGGGTAGCCTATCAGAACACAGGATCTGCTTCATATTGCCCACGGGCGCTTCCAGCTATATATTGAGGTCTGTTATGCATTGACAGAAGGAAAAGATTAATTATCTGGTTATGAGCTATGAGATGATTGTTAACTCAACACGAACATAACAATAACCCGACCTAAGGTTTGGATTATTTAACGGTAATATATAATAAACGTCAATAATAATAGTATTGTTGTTAATAAATCTTGCTTAAATTTGTATTACTTCAAGCTGTTTAAAAATCCAAAATTATTTCAATGGTTACTCTATTATCTGTTCACTAGAGTGGTCAGGACTCTTCTGATGCCAGCATTCCAACAGGTTGGTGATAGGAGTTTTTGTGTACAATTTTATCCCATCACATCTTTTACGTAGTAAGAGCAGATTAGAAGGCTGATACGGAGTAAAATATATCTTGCAGGCGATGGAGTGTTTATCTTAAAGAAAGAGGAAGACGAAGACTCAGTCAAGGTAGGGAAAGTAATAAGGTGCTGTTACCTCTGTTTACAACATCGCCTCTTCTTAGTGCCGAGCAAATAGGCCATTCCCGAATTACTTTTGGCCTCTTTTTCAAAACGAGACCTGGTGCTCAACCGTTCGTTTGACAATAAGTTTAATTTGCACATGACTGAAAACTTATAATCACATGACAGAAAGAGCGCTAGGACTCGTTATGGAAATGGGCAATTGTTCATGTTAACTGTCGGTTGTTTTCTGTTCAAAGGGAGTTGGTGTAAAAGGAGTAAACAAGGTTAAAACCAAAAAGAAAAAACTTAAGGTAAGTAGACTCTGTTGTACTTATTGTTACTAAAATAAGCCCTGGATACAAAAGACTCTGCTTTGATTCCTGCTCATGGGTGCCGATAGCATATAGGTTTCTCTCATCGTCCTTCGTGTTAATTCTTCCCATAACTGGCCATCCTAATTCAGATTCCCTTAGTTTGTTGAAAGTAATCTTGTATGGCGTAGTATTTTCTTTCCTTCCGTTTGGAATTCGGATTGGAATGGAAAGCTCTTGCCAACCTCTCAACGAATTGAGTACAAAATGAAATCCAATCGTAACTTGTTCACTCGTGTTTTACCCCGCTTCAGGCAGTTCTCCTGTTTTAGCTTTGAGTTAGAATTAGTTCCTTCTGATATTTTTCTTTGTTTTGATTGGCCTCAGTGATTAATTTTGTTGTGGTTCTTCAACTGTCGTTCGAAATGCGGTCTGCTAACTTTGCCTTACTATTATCATCATAAAAGTATCATTCAACTAAAAGTGATGACTCAAATCTCATATTTCGCGAGGTAATTTATTAAATAATTTGATGTGAAATGTTTGGGGTGGAAAAGGTATTAATGAAACAATCCAAAATCGTACCGATTAAAACAAAACCGCCTTGAGACTGCGGTTACATTACCCTAGAGACTCGCCTCACAGGAATGCAATTTCGAAACACCAAACCTGACGTTAGAGGCAAAACATGGGGTAATGGTTTCTTTTCCTCGTGTAGAATACACAGACGCTGGATGAATTTCTCAAAGATCACGGTGGAGTGCAAACACTCAGACCAACTTATGGTGAAGATTACGAAGACCTGGGTGAAATCCCGCATCCTAAATGGTAACCGTGGCTACTCAACGTAAAAAGTGAAAAAAATTGTTGCCTCCAGAGTGCAAGGTGTCATTACAGCAATGACAAACTTAGCTAATCAATATGACTGACTTACTAACGGCTGATTTCATAATTAAACACTGTCCGACTCTCTGACTGACCCAATGACTAAAGAGAGTAATTTTCTAACTGAAGAAACTGTGGTGCTGCGCCAGTGGGGGGTTTTAGAAGAAAATTTGGTTTTGTCAAGTGAGTTGATATAAATTGGCCACAGTGAATAGTTTCTAAATAGAGGGGTTGCGGATTGTGTGTAGTTTGAATAACTCACTAACTGATTAGTACTGACTTACTGACGGACCGTCCTACCTACTTACATACTGACGAGTTTCCTGAAAACTTACCGACTGAAACACCAATCAAAGGACTGTTTAACAACTTAGTAAGTACTTAAAGAAAACCGCGACGGTGACGGCAACCGGTTAGCGAAGCAAAATATTTGATGAACGGACAATAACTTCACACGTACGTTTTTTAACTTTGTACTTTTCCTGGTCGTGCTATGCAATACTACAACGTGAAATCGCTAACTTTGCCGAGTCGGAGAAAGGGAAACCAGACGACACATAAGTTACATTTCTTCGAACTTTACCCTGCATTCTCATGTTATGCTGAAGGAAACATCTGGCGCCGTAGGGGATAACAAATAAATCGAACTACACGTAAAATTATTTGGAGAAACGAAAGTTCGTTCTTTTAGCGATGTTTTCCAAGGCGTCGCCGATGTGACATCTGTAACTCCTGATTGTCTATCTGTCTGTCCGTTAGTCGGTCTGTCTGTGTGAGAGTATGAGAGGTAAAAGCACGTATGATGGAAACAGTTGTTCAAAGGCCGACTAGCGCTAATCCAGGGTTAAATTGTAATCCAGATTTCTATATTTCTCTGTTCAAAAGCCGTTTTGGAATAATTTTACCCATTATTTTTAGAGCATTCAATTATCAAATTGTACTAAAAAAGAAATAAACTGAACTTGTTCTACAAGCTTTCAGATCTGAAATCAAATTTCACCCCAACCCAAGGTTATCTTAACCCAGCTTTGAACGACCCGGCCATGGAATGAAAGGTAAATTGTAATTTTTTATTCTCCCTTCATAGTAAATTTGACGTGGTTACTCAACCACCAGGCTGGAGTCAGCAGGAGGTGGAAGCACCGTTTGCTATTCCACCTCATTTACAAGATAGCGCAGCTGAGCTTGAGGCAAGTTACAAGATGGAAGTGGCATCAGACATCATCTCAACGTCTTTACCACCTCCGCCATCCATTAGTTTGGAAGCAGTCACGGAATATGTTAGCTCGTAAGTTCTTCCTCGTCAAATTTTTTATCTTTGATGCCGCTTAGTTTCCATTAGTTCAACCAGAAGGAGCCTTTGTTTCGGCTGGCTTCAAACATACTTTTGAAGAAACTTTGCATCTGTTTTTCTTTCTCCTTGCAGAATGTTACACGAGATTTTACGAGTCCAAGGAGGTCTGGAGCTCGCTGACCCGAGCATCATGCAGCCTTTGAGCATGCTACCGGATGATTACCAAGATATCATTTCCAGTGCTGGAGGACTAAAGGCTATCTTAGAACACTCTGGAAAATTTTTATTTGACGGTAACAGGGTTATGCTACCTGAGGACAAGGAATTTGAAGACTTGGTAAAAACTCTTAAACCTGCGAGTAGTAACAATCCATTCTTGGACAGAACGAATAGTGGATTCAAAACCAATATTAAACAGGAAAAAGGTACTCAGGACAACAATAAATCAAATTCTGTTGATGTTCTTTTTACTACGGCTGGTAAACCGCACGACGGAGGCGTAAATTCGTCTTCCTCGATGTCGTCATCTCCAGTGCTTAATCCGAATGGTACAGAATATGTTTCTTCGTCACAAACGGATTTGTTATCAGCTAGCTCGTCGAAAACATCTATTGGCAGTGATTCTACGTTAAAAGGTGACGATGATGAACAAACGATTGACAGAAACGACACTCTTGTTGAAAATCCTGAACAAAATAATTCGAATGGTGAAACTCTAGTTGATAGCGTTTCAGAAGGTGATCTCACTGTCACCAAATCCACCAATGAAACGCAAGGCGAAAACTACCAAGATTTTGCTAGTGATACGACTTCTTTGAAAGCCGAGCATTTGTCTTTAAATGATAATAATGTTGCGGACTCAAGCTACGATGATAGTCGAGTTAATACCTCTGTTGAAACAGTTGAAAAGGAGGTATCTTCACTTGTAGCGAGCGAGGACAACAACCCTTCACAAAGTAATCAAAAACTTAACGCCGGTGTTTCCACCACTGAACCGGCGATAGTTAGCAAAACCAAAGCTGTGCAAACGCAACCGAATGTGAAAAGTAAAGGTGTAGGCACAGATCCAATCCCTGAACCTTTTAAGGCAGAATATCAAAGGGTCGCGGCAGAAAAAGACGCTTTACAAGCGAGGCTACAAGAAAACGTCGATAGGCATAACGCCTTACTCAATAAGAACTCTGCGGAAGTGGAGAAAGTAAAGAAGAAGCTCGCTGATGCTCTGCAAGAGAAAGAGGTGATTATAAATCAATGTGTTCCCAAGGGTATTTTGAAGGTAATCCGCGGAACTCGCACTGCCCACAACTACTCGCTTTTCCTTTCCACTTTTGCGTTTGATGTATTGTGGAACCTAATCACAGCCGTTTCTGTGAGGTGGAAGGCGAGCGGACTGAGAAGGAGCTGCTTTTTGTGCACTCTGACTTGAGCGAATCAGCAGCCTGCAATCAAGTCTTTATTATAGCGCTGCAGGACGCGCGTTTCTTCACCCGCTGGAAGATTTGTGATGAGTCAAGGAGAGGTTTCCCGGGGGTCTGGTACTAATCAGTGCCAGGCCCCTTGCAGACGCGTGGCTCAAGGCCTCCTACTTTCCCGCAGGCGGGAAGAATGAGGACCTGTTCGCAATCAAGTGAATCGGCTGTAGTGCGATGGTTTCAGAATTAAGAACCAAAAGCTACGTACAAAATCTTTACCCATCTTAAGAGGAAACAACTCTTACCTCCTGGTTGCCTTTCGCGCTTTAAAAAAAGGGCTCTGCTCAAGCTCGTCATGACTCGCATAAATTTCGCTCTCACGGTGCCTCTCCGCCATGTAGTTTCAATGAGTACTAGCGAGCTCAAACTCTTTACACCCTAACATAATTATGCACACTCTCCACACTTTTCTATATACGCTTTTGAAGGTACTGACATGCAGAACTTGTTTAACAACCCAGAGTTTCTTTAGTTGCTCATCTCATCATCCTTTATTCTCGGAACCTCTGATGTTCAATTTAGGGGTGATACAAATAAGATACTAGACACCCTTAGGGGTCAAAAGGTTAAGGGTAAGGTGACGAATTGCAGGGGGTGGGGGGGAGGAGGGCCTACTTTCGCGAACGCGCATACCAAACTAAAAGCTCAGACAGGGCTCACATCATGAAAGGACCTCTAATTGATTGTAGGTCTTTTGGAGTGGTAGGAAAACCTGAGGACATATCGTTTTATAAAAATTATCAAACTGCTGCTCTTTTCAAAACCTTTCGGTAGGTAGGATGCTGTTGAGATCGCTGATTCTAGCACTGTGTTACATATGAACTTTATGTATTGTACTCACCACGAGCAGCTTGTAGCCCAGTGGTGGAGCATTCGATAGGTCCTGGTTCCCAGTTATTAGTGACCGAACTTTAGAATTGGTGGAAAGGAATAGTTCTGGTCGAAAATTTAGCATCGATCGAACTCTTGGCTCGACTCGATATTTCGCCGTTTTCTCGGATCCAGTCGTCTAGTAGAAGGAGGGTAGGAACACGGGCTCATTTCTCGAACAGCGGTTGGTAGTCGAGCCTGTCGGAAGAAATGACTGCGTGAAAATTGTAGATGTGAACAGGCGTTTTTATGAGTTTTGGGTGAGCATTTATCCCCAACTAAAATAATACCTTTTTAAATTGTTATTTTAAATTAACATTTTCCGGGCTGAAACAAGAACTGGATTTACGAGACGTTGTAAAATTACCAATTGAGAGATCGTTATGTTGGGGGGCTGGTATGAAATTCTTGTCTAGTCTGATTTTGATTGGATTTTACTTTTTTGGTACCCTTTTTGAGAAAGGTTTTATTCGATAAATATTTGCGTGTCTTGTTGTAGAAATACTCAAAAGATGTTCAAGAAGTAAAGAAGGAGAACCAGGAGGAAATACGTAAACTACGCCAACAGTGCGAAGACAAAGACGATAAGATCAAAACCTTGAACCATAAACTGGTACAAGAAGCACAGGACAAGTGAGTTCATTTGAACCGTTTGATTCATATGAAACTTTTTCTTAGGATTTCAAGGCTTCTGTTTCGTTGTCAATGAGAAATTGCTCCATCGCTTTTATTTGGAGTCTTTTATTCGCTCTCTGTTTTACTAGCATTTTTCCTTGGCTAAGTAGGCGCAATTTCCAAACTGCATTTTGCAGAATAATACTCAAAAGGGATCCTCTCACCTTGCAGTCTGCGAACGTAGGTTTTGGCGTTGCTTACCACTAGTTTCTCGGCCGTTTGGGAGTCAAAGCATCATACCGTAGTGCGCAAGGTCATCGTTTTGCGGCTGCCGTTGGGGAGTTGAATATCGCTATTTTAAGTTAGTGGTTGTTTAGGGTGCGAGCCGGCCTTCCTTTTTCGCGTTATATGACGCATCCTTGCCTCCGCCCGACTGAAAATTTGAGACGAGTCGGGGAGAGATTTGCTGGGAGTCTGGCACTAATAATTTTCAATGCTCTCGCCGTTTCGCATTGCTTAAGGCCTCATCATTTCCCGCGAGCGAAGAAACGCTCTCATAGGCTAGAGGTTGTCCATTTGTCCGTATTGTCATTCGGGGATGTTTCCTTTCTGAGAAGGAACAAGCAACGCTCTAAGGAAGTTTTAGCGCTCGAAACTGGTAGCTTTTCAAATCTCGTCCCGCGCTTCATCTATCTCGATGAACTTTAAGGAAATATTCACTAAGCTTACCTTTCCCACCGACTGACGCTGCACGGGGGCCTCTTATGTATTTGCGCCAAACGGTTCTGAAAATGTGATTTGATTGTTGTTTTTTTTTTTCGTCAGAACCAACGTGATTACCAGTGTTAAAAAAGAGCTGTCAACTGTTAAAGGGCAGTACACATCAGAGAAGTAAGTCTGCCTCAATAATACCGCCAGTATATAAAGGGACGCAAGCCTCCTATTTTGTTTTGCGTTGGAGAGAATTTCGTTATGAATTGATAGCCACTGAAATCACCGAGGTTAGTATCGGCACGTGTCCGTCAGCTCGGGGCGTTTTGTTCTGAGTTTAAATCAGAAGAACCTTTCTTCCTGGAGGAAATTTCTGCTCATGATTCTGAGTGACACGGTGACTGTATGGAAAAAGAAAAAAAGACGAAATTTTTAAATTGTTTTCTCAGAAGCGCAAAGTAAATTAGGGATTGATCATTGAATTATTTGAAGAGGCGATAAGGTTGGCTGTCTTAATAGGAAATCATACGCAAATTTTGATACTCTTCCTTTTTTCCCCTCCGTCAGGGATTCCTGGAACAAAGAACGCTCTGAGAAGGACGAGTTGTTAAAAAATACTAAAGCTCAAAATCTACAACAACAGGCTAGGGCTCAGGATGCAGAGGTAATCTTTTTTCGTTTTCTGCAAGGCATGAAAATGTCGAGGAAAAGCTGGTTACCAGTACTCTATCACCGCCTTGAAGACCTCTTACCGCTGTTTGTTGAGCCTGCGAGCAGGCACTCGTGTTTGGTTTTCGCCTTACATTCACTTTCCGAACACAGCAAAAAAAGTTATGGAAACCCCGGCTTAGGGAGTTATGCTGACCCTTTACACCCTTACATTGGTATTCATATTCTCCACACTGTTCACTTATCATTCCTCTGGTACAGACAAGGAGAATTTGTTTGACAATCAGGAGCTTCCTCAAAATTGGTGATCATTTCCTCTATTCCCATGACCTTTACACTTGATTCAAGGTCGAGACTGTGAGGAGAAATTACAAGTCAGTCTCTCTTAGGGGTTAGAGGGTTTGGAAGGTTGGTCCGTGAAGCCATTCTCTATGTGTTGGAACAATTTTCAATTGAGTGTCGAAAATAATCCAGGACAGCTCTGGTTTTCCTTTAGTTCTTTATATGATTGGTCCAGAAAACTCGCGCCTCTTTCTCAACCAATCAATTTCAAAACTAAAAGCAATCGCGACTCGGTCACTCGCGTTTTCCCGCGCTTCATACAGTTTGCTAGTTTTTATTTCATAGGCTCCTCGTGATATTTTCCAAGTTCTGATTGACTGTTGTGAGTAGTTTGGTTCTGGTTTTACGACACTCAATCGAAAAGAGCTCTAATGGGCTATAATGTCAACTGATATATTTCTCTTGGCAGATCAAACTGCTTGAACTTCGCCGTGACGTTGGTTTGAGGTTTCTGGAGAGAGCGTTCCAAGAATCGCATATAACCATCAATAATTTGATACAAGCTGTGAACGCAAGGTTAGATTTGTCTGATTTCGATGAGTACATTGATAAAAACTATGAGGCTTTATTTGAATGTCTTATCCTAAGTATTTTTCCTTTATAGCATTGATATAAATCTGTTTGTTTTGTCAGAATTACTGGCCCTAAAGTAGAGGAAGTCGTCACTGCGTGGAAGAATTACGCTTCTGAATGCCATCAGAGAGTCGTGCAATGCAAGGTACTTGTTGTGAACATTTTAGGCGTCCTCGGACACACACAGGCAAACAGTCGGGCGAAAGAAGGGTGAAACAGCGAATTGCGATTAACGCGAAAGTTAACTTGGCGAGAGAAAGGAGCTATCTCGCTAGTCAAGTAAGATTTCGCGTCCAGCCGAAACTGTCGTGGACAGGTTATCAATATGCCATCAACATGCTATCAGACTTAAGCTAGTTTGTTTTTCACTACTCTTATTCTAACTAAAGGGTGATCTCTTGCAGACGACATTCAATGAGCAAATTGATCTGCTAAAAAATGGCAGAACTTTGTCCAGTTTACCTCAGCTGAACATCCCCGGACCGCCACCATATCCAGGCATTCCAGTTCTACAGTCTCTGGTAAGCAAAATTCCATCTGCTCACGGCTCCTGGCCTTGTCATAAGACTCTTTTAATCTTTTGACTTTCACAAGTGATCGACAGGCAGTTTGTCCTTTTAACCTCAATACTATGTCAAGTAGACATGAAATTTATTAACTCAAATAATTCCAAATTTTCGGGGCTGTGTTGCAGTGAGGAAATGTATGACAGTCAATAAGGAAAGTTAACAACTGATCCTATCTTCTCTTTAAGGTACCCGGACAACAACAAAACCAAACGCAGGCCCAGCCGCAGGCCCAGCCGCAGGCTCAGCCCCAGGCCCAGCCCCAGGTACAGGTACAGGCCCAGCCCCAGGCTCAACCCCAACTGCAGCCCCAGGTTCAACCCCAACTGCAGCCCCAGCCCCCACTGCAACAACACCTTCAACCGCAACTTCAACCTCAATACCAGCCCTCTCCGGAAAGTAACATTTTAACACCTGAACCCCCCGTTCCGACCAGCTCTGCTAGTGCTAATACGGGGGGTCCTTTAGCTGCGGCTCCACTTCCAGTTGTTGCTGCTGTTCCAGTTGGTGCAGAACAGCCTCTGGTTGCTGGTAATCTTGCAGTAGGTGGTGCAATGGCAGTCGTACAGGACAAGGCGCGACCATCAAACAGCTTTGAAAAGATTATGCTGCGTCTGTCGACCATGTATCCAAACTTTACCAGGTGGGTAAAATCATCCTGGTGAAACAATTTACCATCGTCGATTTACCATCGAAAATGATGGCCTCTTGTATGAGCTCGGTTAACGGAGCTATACTTTCAAACATGTCTAGCTCGGAGACTTTTCCAGAATAGTAAACGTTTTTGATGTTCATTTGCCCCCCTCCCAGTTCCAATGTTGTTAATTGCCAATGTGTCCGTTCCACCTTGCGGACCCAGCAAGAGTACTTTTAGCTTTATTGCCCCAACAGATTTGTCCACAACTGGTGCCGGGTGTTGTCAGAATTTAGCTTTCTTTTGTGATTTCGATGTCGTTTTCAACATGCATTTCACATTCTTTCGCAGTCAGTCGCAGTTTTTCTCATAACTAGGCACCGACGTTGAAGTTTCTTCATTGATACATTTCAGTTAAGAAATTTTACATCAGTTTTTTTTTTCTGATTAAGGATTGTTTTAATGTGTTCCTCACAGGTTGGAATTGACCGGCTTTATCAAAGAGGTACGGTCTAACAAACATGGCTCACTTACTGGATTGTCACTAGAGGACATCGTCGCTAGTGTCTCAGAGCTGGTTGAACAGAAAAAGAAGGTATTTTAAAACAAACTTTGAAAGTTTTTTCGTTGTAGTGGAGTCATTCAGTTTGCGATTGACTGTCGAAAATTTCCCACCATTGCACTGGTTTTGCTTGAGGTTGACTGTGTTCAGCGATTCTGTAAGAAGTATTACTAAAAACACTCAACCAATCAGGTGCAAAACTCGACCCAAACTCGGTCACTTGCGCTTGGCGCTAGAGAGATCCTTCCGCTTTTGGGTTTGGTTACCTTTGTTTACGTTGAATACTCATTGGCTGCTTGTATTGTTAATCCTCGTTCTGATTGGTTGTTGTGGTTACAGCTTACTTACAGCGAAACGTGATCGAAAGACGCTGTGGCAAGTCGGAGACTTGTTAAAACTGAGCGATGGGAAATGGCTCCATTCTACTATACTTCACGTTTACTTTTTAATTTGAAATATAACAATGGCATCTTGAAGATTTTCAGATTTCTTTTCCATTTCAACGTTGTTTTTTTCTTAAGGAATAAACCACAGTAACTTTTTTAAGAGTTTTCACATGTTATGGAAATCGTTCCAAAGCGTAGAATTTACATTTCATATTTTCGGTTTAGATCGTCATTAGATTTTTTTCCTATGAAAACCGGTGAAAGATGTATTTGTATGGGGAAAAAATACCTCGGTAAAACTGTCCCTTTATTTTTTGGGGGAAACTTTAAGTCTCGCAACCCGCAACTTCTTCTTGTGCCCTCCCTCCTCAGGCTGGTTTGTTACGTACGACCCCTGTGGCTCATGCTAAGCAACCTCAAGCACAGAAGACCCAACAAATCCAGATCTCTAAGCTAGCCTTAACAGAGGCGGCCAAGATGGCGATCGCCACAGGGAGCTACGAGGAAGACCCGTGTGTCATCTGTCACGAAGACATGAACGCGTCCATTGATATAGTAACGTTAGAGTGTGGTCACAGATATCATTCACCGGTAAGCTCGTTTTCTCTTTGCAGGTATTATTTTCCGTACTATTTTAGTTGTGGATATATAACTATGAATGATGATTTTTTTTTCTGTATCACGGTTCTTATGCATTCCAGAGTGAAAGTCTAAACTCAGTCAGTAGCCTTAAACTAATTTAATGTGTTTTCATGTTCCAGTGTATCCGAAAGTGGTTGTTGGGGGAACAGAGCACGTGTCCAACTTGTCGTGTTCATGCCCTTCTTCCAGATGAATTCCCTCGTCTCAGGTGAACACTTCTTGAAAGTATGGGGAAGGCGGGCACCCGTTCAGCGTGTGGTGTTCACGCTCTTCTCGGACATTCGTACTTCATGTTCACGTGTACGTCACGTGTTTGTTTAATAGATAAATGGCAATGTGTAATGTCGATGTATTTGAGGGGCACTCTGGAAACTGCGGAGGCGGATGAGGAGTTATCTTCTGTCTGTCTCACTTGATCTACGAGGAGAACGACAAGCTAACGCTTTTAAGAGAGTTTTCTTTGATGGCTTGTTATACTTGAGTGGAATTTACACACTCATTTCATAGAGAAACCTACATGAGTTTATCGTTGGAGCCCGTCTACTTATATTTTTACCTTTCCGGAATGTCATCACCTTGAGGCAGATCAGAGACAACTATATCTGCGTTGTTAAGCTAAGTTACAGATGAAGTGAGTTTTAATTAGAAATAATTTTAATTAAAAACCGTAGCTACTTCTACTGTTTGGGCTCTTTTTGCCGAGTTGCCATATGTAAAGATGCATTCGGATTAGCATACTAAACGTTTCCTCATTGACGGACAATAAGGTTTCTCTATTAACACAAGATTTCCAGCCTTATTTCCTAATTAACTTCGAAACATTGGCAAGAACTATTTGTGCTTACCATGAATACGAACAACATGTTAATTACTTTTTTAGGAAACATTTTTAATTTCGATTGAAAACAATAAAGTTGGAAACAGTTTGTTTGCTGACAGGCGTTGGGTTTCAATGGGCAAACGTCACCGCTTGTCGCAACTTTACCGCTTAAGAACAAATGACAACAGCGAAGCATTAAATAAGACAAGAAGTCGGTTGATGGAAAGGTTAGCTTGGTTTCGAAAGGGGATTATAGTCATTACAGACTAATTATCATCGCTATCTTTCAAAGTACTTGACGCCTTGACTTCTTGTTAGACAGTTCTTTGTTCCTTCCGAAACTAATTACTCGCAAACTTGCCCTCTTTAGCACACAGTGTAGCCTTGGACAAGAAGCGAGTCTTGGGTACGGGGATGGGTACTCTTTCATCTCGTAACCCAGTTTCCCTCCAAGGTTTATTCAATTATTTTGTTGTAATTTTTTATACTTCAAGCAAGAACGCACATTCAGACAAATCGCCTAGAAGTTCTCGAGGGTTGTGAACGAGATTTTTATTTTGTTTGCATATATTGATATCGTAAACAAACACTGCATGAAGAATGAAAACAACTATAAAGCCAAACCTAACAAAGGCAACTCAGATATTTCGCACAGATGTCTGAAAGCAATTGTTCTTTAGTATTGGCCTCTGTAGGGTAACAAACGCCATGTTTAAGTCTCCCTTTTCGATTCACTCATTTCAAGCGCAGCGCGGGGTGTTTATCCTTTACCTTCCTTTGTAGTACAGATGACCCCCCCCCCCTCCCTGAAAAAAAGGGTCACGCACGTAAGCTTAGAAAATCGTCTAAATAAGACTGGTTGAAACACTTGTTTTTCAAGTACAGTGTTAAATGATTTAATTTGTACTTCCTTTCTTTTCTGTTACTGATCTGTCTTGGCGCATGAAACTGTAGTAGTCCACAATTTCACAAGCAGGATGTGGAATGATTTCATCCTATTATTTCTCCATAGCACCTTCCTGTCAACCTTGCATTAAATGAATGAAATAATGACTCATGCTGGTCACAATATTCTTTGTAAAGTTCACAACGCTTTCAAAAATAATTGCGAGAAGTTCAAGTTGAGAGAGCGATAAACATCAAGCGATTTTCGTAACATCGTGCGAATTTTAAGATTCGATTGCTGTAAACTTGAAATGTATATACCTTTTTGTTTGCCGCCGTTTTCCGTCACGCTTGTGAAGAGTATCCCACTTATCTAAACAGACATCCATTCTTGAGATATTTTCTTCTTCCCTCCCAAAAATTCCAAATCAAAGTCCTTTTTATAGAGACTATTTCCGGCTAAATGTTTGTTTGCTTTTGCTCTTTACCTCTCAATGTTTTGGTTATCAGAACTGTGGCTGAAGTACCGGCAGAATCTCTTAATTCGCCATCATAAACAGCTTCGTCTGCTAATTCATATGATAGTTTGTTTGCAAATAATCTTTTCATCAAGTGATCGAATTTCGATTACTAGGTCACGCTAGAATTCAAGGCACAAAACGCACGTAGCATTGAACTGGAACCCTCAAAAAGTCCCAGATTAAACTTAATTGACCTCCAGCTCGCTTATTTTCTGTGAAATTAACTGTTTCCCCCCAGCGGATGGATTTTTCAGCATTCGGAAGCGAGCAAATAGAGATCACGTGCACAAGTTAAAATTCCCAATAGGATCATCGACAGAAGCTTATGATTATTCCGAAGAATGTTAATGAATTGTAACGAACCAATCGTGTTCCCCCATGGGAGTCTCTGTCGGATGATAGATCTTGAGACTGACATGATCAGGCGTTCCATCAGAACGTGCTTATGATACCAGTTTCTTTGAAACTAGCGCCAAAAAGAAATACTGCGAAGGAGAGCGGCAGATGCCCGTCAAGAAGTCTCTCTAGAATCAAGTACATTTTATACAGAAGAACAGCTCATTTAGGTCGGTGGTTTATTCGATTAATCTAAACATGCCGCGCGGTGAGCACCACAGGTCTGATCGCGATAGAGACCGCGATTATAGAGACAGGAGAGAGCGAGCCGATGAAACTGGCAGTCAGGAAATACTAGATGAAGGAATCATACAGGTACAGGTCATTCCCCAAGACGACAATTGGGGAGAAACAGCCACCTCTATCACAGAGACGGCAACATCGATCGTAACACTCAGTGAAACGGATCTAAGCGACATCGTCAAAGAAAGACGTCGTATTTCATGCGGTAGCTTTGGACGCCATGTTAAACTTATACCGCAAGCGGTTTTGTGCGTGTTTTCTGTAGTTTCGCCGATTCTTTTCGTGGTGTTCCCACTGGTTACATGGAAACCTACGCCTTGTGGCTCAACTTGTGATGGACTTTTTATTAGTTTTGCCGTCAAAGAGCTGTTGTTAATGATCGGGATTTGGGCTTTGTATTTTCGCATGTCACGGGTCACCCTTCCTCGGTTGTTTGTTCTCCGAGTTGGCTTCATGGTGCTTGTGTTTTTGGTTCTCGTTTGTTTCTGGCTTTTCTATGGCTGGAGGATCATTGATAAGAAGGCAGACAATTTTTCTGAAATTCTCTTATTTGCGATAAACATGCTAGATTCCTTGCTTTTTCTGCACTACACTTCTGTTGTGGTTCTTTGGATTCGCCAAACAGACCCTTTGTTTACGCTCAAAGTGATTCGTAGCACAGACGGAATAAGTCGACATTATAACGTGGGGCCCTTGTCGATCCAGCGGGCTGCAGTGTTTGTGTTGGAGCAGTACTACAAGGATTTCCCTGAGTATAATCCATTTCTCATGCAGACGCCAGCGCGGACGGCGCACAAGCAGTTCTCGAGTCTCAAATTTTACGACATCGATGGAAAGCAGAATGACAAAGTAAACCCGCGGGCCAGAGCAATCTTAACGGCAGCTTCGACCCGTAGACGGGACCCAGCGAGAAACGACCGCTTCTACGAAGAAGCAGAGTTTGATAAGAAAGTGAAGCGACGAAAAGCGCGATTGTATAACGCGTGCGAAGAGGCCTTTGGGCATATTAAACGCGTTCAACTTGAGCGCGGCCCTTGTGTTCCGATGGATCCTGAAGAAACGGCGCAATCCCTGTTTCCATCATTCGCCAGACCGCTCCAAAAATACTTGAGAACTGTTAGACTTCACCATCGATACTCGATGGACGGAATTATTAAGCATCTCGCGCATTGCTTGACTTTTGATATGACCCCGAAAGCGTTTCTGGAACGATATGTAAGCGAACAGCCCTGTGTGGAATTTACCACTAAAAAGCGAACGCAAAGTTGGAGTATAGTCTGCGAAGAACAAGTTACGAAATCACTCTCTTCTTCAACGGTGTTTCAACTAAAAGGAGACGAACTCTCTTTGATAGTGACCGTACGAAGACTACCATACCTTGATATTTCGGAAGACGAGTTTGACTTTGAAAGCAACAAGTTTGTACTTAGGCTCAACTCTGAGACTTCGGTCTAAACTAAACTCCTTGTGTTTAATATTTTGTAAATAGCATTAATGCTGTTGTGTTTCTCAAGTGTGCTCTCCAAGAGAAACAAACCTTCAGTTAAGGGCATTTTTCGACAACTAAATATTGCAGTTGAATGATTATTTCAACATGAAATGTACAATATTGTTTTCTCGTTCGCCTCGGGATTTTTAAAGTTGCTCTAAACACAATAGTGTGGTCTAGAATTTCTTTAGTAAATGTTTCAAGTGAATAACGTATTTGTCCATTCCTCTACACTAGATGTTGTTTACAAAAAATTAATTTTTGAATCGGAAAGTATTTTCTACGAAAGGATTACCAGTGATTAATTGCCGAAGATTTGTTATAAGGTCGCGCAAATTAAAATTGATCGTAATCTTTTGTCTGTAGAGTTTGTCGGTTGTTTCAGGGTAACTTAAATGCAAAAATGCGAAGCAATTATCTCTTCAGAAAAACTAACTTTGCTAGTTAATTGAGGGTTGAAGTTACGTTTTATTAAAATTCAGTGAGACAAACAGATACCTTTTGTTTTTTCATTTGGAAAACGTTGTTTACCTTGTAACATTTAGCAGATGCAATTTGCGCTCGGGAAGAGATCTGTTTCACCGAACAGGGAGCCTAAGAAACGTTCGAAAAATTGTGTTAATGGAATTAAAACCTTAGCTAATTTTCTCAAGAGTCAAATTCGACGGGGATCACAAACCCTTGATCGACAATTCGCTTTGTTGTAATCCTTCCTGGCCTATGAATTTCTTATATTTTTTGCGGTTGTGAACACTCAACAATTATGCATGATTAGCAGGCCATTCCTTGACGCGTTTTTCAATATATCTTTTAACAAATTCTGCCCTTGGCGACGAAATTAAACCAAACCGCATAGAGAGCGAAGTTGGGAAATTGTTTACACTTAAAGAGCTGTCTAAGCTGGTACGCAAATCAATTTGGAAAATAATTTACCAATTCCAAGTGTTTTGGTCTCATGATTGTCGTATTTGAATAGAATTCTTCTTTGCATGCGGTCTCCAGCCCTCCTTGGTCTTTCACAAAGCGATTCCGTTTGGAATGAATAACTTATTGCTTTCAATTGTATCCCTATCGCGAAAGATATGAGATTTAATCAAACATTTTTCTTTCTGTAATTGCCTACCGTCGCCCACCGTACAATTCTCCGCCTTGCAGGATTGAAATCAATATATCTCACACAAGAAGGCTGTCACGAGAAGGTTTTGAGTCGTTTAAATTTTCGTGATTAAAGATAGCGGGGGACAAAGCCGCAATCTTGACCCTTGAGAGATGAATGATTTCAACCTTCTAAAACAAGAAACAGCCCCCGCGGGCTATTATGCACAGATCTAGAACCCAAATTTTGATCAATGATATTTCAAACGCATTTCTTAAGGGCAAAGGATAGTTTTCTGATACTGATAGCACCCTCATCGAAAATGATTGCCCTAATCGATTAGGTCCTCGGCGTGAAACGGGTGTAAATATTTCCTGTGTCTGCTGAACTGATATCAGTCGACTGCGGAGGAATTGTATACAAATCAAACTTTTCCGGAATATTAATTATCTCTTAACAGTGCTTTAGAAGTAATCTACGATG